TAAATAAGAAAAAGATAAAGCTAAATTAGTCAAAAATTGTGCATGATCCTTCCTATAATAAGTGGTAATAAATTCTTTCGAATTTTTATTTATGAAGGGAGAGAAGACAATTAACTGATTTTGTTTTTCAGTTTTTAGTGAATACCTCAACAACAATGAGTCTTACGCAAATATTATTCTACACAAAAGAAACATTCTTCAAAATCTCACAAAAAACTATTCAATACATTTGACAGAAATATTAAAAGGACAAAATTAATGGAATTACATTTCTAGTAAAAATGTCTTCTAACATCATGAAATCGATATGTTCATGGGGCATAACAGCGATTCGAGGTTGAATTTGTTTAATTAAAAGTTCCTTTACATTTAAAACATACAACAATTAAAAAAACAAATTATAATCAATTTTTCTTTGTTTTAATGATTGAATAATTCATAATAATGAAAATAAATATAAAATAATAATAATAATATTAAATAATAACTAGGACTCTGGTTGAAAGTAAGTGGCGGAAAGCTGGAAATGTTTTTAATCTGTTTAGTAATATAATAGTATCTTACAGATCTTACAGATAATAGTATCTTAAGTTTACCCCATTCTATTTAGGGGGAGGGCAAGGTGGGGAGGAAGGATTTCGCAGCCATTATATTGTTAACAATTATTTATATTAATTTTGATTATGTAATGGAATTCAATGAAATTGATAATAAGTGATTTCTCTACTGTTCTCTAAATTTCCTCCAAGTTTGGTTCGAATCGAATGCGCCGTTTTCAAACTATAGGCATATCAAATAACACATTTCCTGATCTGAAAGCGGAAGTATTTTTTTTGGGGGGGGGAGGTATTAGGTAGAATTTGATAAAATTGATGCCTATTTTATTTTACGTTTACCAATCCCTAAATTCCCTCAAAATTTGAGCCAATTCGAACTTGCGGTTTTAGAGATATAGATGTATCAATAAAAACGCGTTTGGGCATATATAAGCGAAACGGATAGAATTCGATAAAATTGATCTTACATTATTTTTTTCACAAATAACTATATTTTGTCCAATTTTGAGCCAAATCAAACGAGCCATTTCTGAAATATTGGCATATCTACAAAATATCGTTTTCGCGTGTGTAAGCGGAAGTGCTGGTTAGAATTCAATAAAATTAATATGGGACCATCTAGGCACCAATCCGCATAATCTCTGAAAATTTAAATTTGTACTAGGTGATATGCCCGTCACATCGATTTGACTACAAACAGACACGGAACCAAATTTGATCCTTAATGTCTGAAACATAAAACGCCAGTGAAAATTTTCGACTCTGAGCACAAAATTTTTTGTAAGCTCTAGCACGAATACTATGCTTGCCTACCTTCGGTAGTGAAGAAGCAAAATTATGATTTAAAGTTTCTGTGTTTCAATGGTTGCAAAAATAAATAACGGATTGTTGAATGCGACCAAATAATATTCGGTATATTGGTCACCTCACAGCGTTGTGGTCTCACTTGTAATGAATTGTGGATGAATTCTCTGGTGCCTAAGAAGGTGCTCACTTCTTTACGCACTGTCATTCCACCATTCCATCAAAAACAAATACAGATGAAATCTTTACTTTGTAATTGATTGCAATTGTACATCTAATGTTCAAGACAGAAATCATTATAAAGGGTGTTTCAGGGTCAAGTGGCCAAACTGTAAAAATGAAATAAGGACCTTAAAACAAGAAAAAATAAATAAATAAGATAGGTCAGCAAACGCTTTGTTTAGGAGATATTCACACCTAAAGATTTTCGTTGTTATGAATTATTTAAGCTATATGAAATAAATAAAACCTATTTATTTGTTCCAACTACTTTAGTAATTAAATGTAAAAGTTAGCATTCATGTTAAATGTTGTTCAAAGTCAAGACAACAAATTTAATATGAATGTTAATGTTTTTCATTTAATTAATAAAGTAGTTAGAACAAATAAATAGGTTTTATTTATTTTACATAACGTAAATAATCCTTTTTTTTTTTTAATTTCTTTATTGAGTATTATAACAATCTGTCTGTAAATAATTCTTAATAACGAGAATCTTTAGGTGTGAATATCTCCTAAATAAAGCATTTACAGACATACCTTCAGAGGAAATGTTTTTCTTGTTTTGAGGTCCTTAGTTCATTTTAGCAGTTTGACCACTTAATCCTGAAACACCCTGTATTTTCGATTTGTTGCAAAAAGTCATTAAGTGACATTTCATAACCTTAAATAATTGAGAACTTTGATGAATTTTCACATCGTTTTTTTTATTTTCTGTTGACATTAGATACCTTGTAGATATTTTGAAGCTTTAATAAGCCTTCTCCATCCCTGCCTATCTTTGGGTATTTCTTTCCAGTTATCTACATGCAGCCCAATTGCATCTTTGTTGATTCGATCTATCCATCTGCTTTTTTGCCTTTCAAGTGGTCTTTTGCCTACTATTGAGACATTCATTGTTGTGTAGAGGCTTTTAGATAAATTGTTCCTAGCCACATGCCCCGCCCGTTTTAACCTATGTGAACCTTAATCACTTTCCCTATGTGAAATAAAAAAATCTTATGTGTCCACTCACACGACTTTTCTGCCGATATCAGAAAAGTTTCTATATCTTAAAATATGTTCATTAAAAACGAAACAAAACAAAATTGAATTAGATATATTTTCCTGAAAAATTGATTTGAAAAAGAAAAGATTTGAGTACGATTTATTTAATAAACTAAAGTAATGTAAACCGGCTTGTGAAAGATAAGCGTAAAAAATTCAATACACTCAAATATTGCCAATCAAAAACTTTATTTCCATAGCCCAATTTTGTCAGACAATAATTTCAGTTAAAAGTAGAGAAACCCTCCGAGGCCTCTGAAAAGAAGATGGCCTCGGGATCTACTTATGTAAATACATTATTAGAGTGCTACCAATGGGTAGTCTCTCATCAAGCGTTTTCATGTGATTGTATTATTACTGTGTGCACATTTACTAGTTGTATTTTTTTATAATACAGTTGTAAAATATCAATGAATAAAAACAAAAGGTAGAGGAGAAATTGAAACTTGGGTGATACGGAAACCAGATTTTTTTACTTTCACTTACTTTTCTTTTTTATCTTTCATTCACGCCTTTCTGGCAACAGGATTTGAACTCGTAATCATATATACGACATTTAATAGCTGTAACTCCGTTAATAGTTGTCCGAAATGAGCGATTTTTATATAACTTTATAAAGAATTTCATTGTCTCTCAAAAATAAAAAATAAAACGGAATAAAAAGTGTTTTGTCACACACAGGCAGACCAATGGCTGAAAATGTGTTTTTCGGACTCAAGGAGCTCTGAAACATACAGATCCGTCGAAAACCGCACATCGGAAATTTGATCCGATTGCAATAATATACTTACCTAGTATAGGTAGGACAAAAAAAACTCTTAATGTAACTCTATATGATGAATAAAAGCGTTTGTGCCATTTTTATGCATTCATGTACTGATGAATAACGTCGAAATCTATAGAAGTCAACCACAAAAATATACATTGATATTTGATCGGATTTATATTCAACAACCTTGAACTCCTCATAAAGCGCCGACTTTTAATGTGTCGACATGCCACAGGATTTTTTTCAAATCATTGAGATCGGACTAAGTCTTCATGAGTGGCTTCATTTTCTCCCAACCTACAACTTTTAATCTTCGAAAATTCTCGGAATTAGTGCATTTTCTATATGGAGGTAAATGTTCAAATAGGGGGTCGATGTTCATTGCCATGGGATGGACATCGACCCCCTATGCCCTAGCTGCGTTGTTCCGGAGACTGCTGAGCACATGATAGTGGACTGCACCGCCTTTGAAGAACTAAGGGCTAAGTTACTGAGGGAAACCGGTCTCTACATTCTCACAGAGAACGATTTTCCTCAGTTAGTCACTGCGGAAAACTACCCGTACTACAAAGATTTTGTGTATGGGTGGAAAGCCGCGGTGGGGCCAGCCCATTTTAATTTAAGAAGAGGAGGAAGAGGTACTATACCATTGGCGGGAAACGGATGAGAAAAGCAACCATGAAGAAAGAGGAAACAAATGAAGAAAGAGCAGAAGATCAAGCTTTACTTGCAGTAGTGAGATGTTAAGCTGACCTGCCTAACATCTTACTATTGCAGACACCCGTATTACCTACTAGGCACGGCAGGGTTGATAAATAAATAAATATGGAGGTAAATAAATATGTCAATCTAATGAGGTACTAAAAACTCATGAACAAACACTTGTTTTCCATTTAAATCTTAAGATATTTTGATCATAAACTTGAGTAAAAGTTGGCCTATAGAAACATTGAACCTTCGGTGTGACCTCCAGCCTCAATTTTTCGAAATAACAAGTTTATGAAAATGTATGAACATTCAGCTAATTTTCACGTTACTAGTTAATAAAGATTAATATTGTCAAATGGTAATAGCGGCCTATAAATTTCATTGGCCGTTTCTAACGCATCTGTAAAACATGCGTTGTCGGGCTATTGATTAACTGAATATAATACAATAATTACGAGTTTGCGTACCGGGGCGGGAGGGAGGAGAGGCTTTTAACTATGGTATTGACCTCACACTCTCTCCTCTGGCTTGGGAAAAACCTCGTACGGACGAAAAGGCGAGGAACGGGAGAAAAAAAAATTGTTGTACTAAAAAGATTAATTGGTGTACTTCGAGGAAGTTCCTAAAATCGATGCTAAGCTCGTTGATGGCTTCGTTTTGCCTAGAGATGCATCAGATGCCATCGATGAACTCATCGCTGAGTGTGAAAACTTGCCCCATATTATATTAACTTAGTACAATAGTATATTAACTTAGTATAATAATTTAGCTTATACTTGATGTTAAAACATTCGATTGTTTCGATTGTTGTTGTATTATTTCAACTTAGCAAAGTTTTTCTAAATTTGTATTTTGAACTTATATTTACTCATATTTTATTTTTATTTTTATTTGTTATAGGGCTCACGTCTTTCCCTGGGCTGAATTGCACGCCCCCGGCCATGGACGATTTCCCTAAAGACTGGTTTACGGAAGAAGAAAGGGCTGGAGGTGCTATAGCACTTCATATTTTAGCTTCACTTTACCTTTTTCTCGCCCTTGCTTTAGTATGTGACAAATATTTTGTTCCTGCAGTAGAAAGGATATGTAAAGGTAATTATAATGGTTCGATAATAATACAATTGATTCTATTAAAAATGTTCTTATGAAATAGTAAAACAATGAATGAATCCTGTTTCTTTTATCACCAAAAGAAATTGATATTTTCAGATCATATAATTTTTTTGAAGAGTGTTTTTATGTAAAAACTAATATCCTCAACATTTACATTTTTTAAGTACATCTATCTCATCCCCACCCCTTTATTGGGCAGAAACTATCCAGTCTAGATACTATATTTCATATATAAGTCTTAGTGCCCTCAGGCGAGGCACGACACATTTGATTTCTGATTCACTCATCTGCACCATGCATCTCATCTTACCTCTCTCATGAACAATCTTAGCTTTGTAATCAGCTACTCTGGAATCTTGAGGGAGTATGACCTTGTATAAATGTTTCCTATTAATGAATTATAAAATCAAAAAAGAGAAGGAAGTTTATTTTACACCAAACACACAGCTAAACGTTAATAATAATTAAACAAATGTAGACAGTTTTAAACACAAACAAATTAATCACGATGCACAGCCACAAATGTTTCACATACACGGGTGCTCGCCATCTTATTAAGTACTCGAGTTTGCCCTTTGAGGGGATTCATATTTCCTAAAGAAATTTGTACCAATAATTATTATTCTCTTTCAAAGTTATAACTAAATGTATTTATTTTGAAGCACTAACATTTTGTTTTTTTCTATTTTAAATTAAGTACATATATTTTTCTTTTTTTAGCTCTAAATATGTCCAACGATGTTGCCGGAGCGACGTTTATGGCGGCGGCTACATCAGCACCGGAGCTTTTTGTGAATGTGATAGGAACGTTCATTACCGAAGGTGATATTGGAATAGGAACTATAGTTGGATCAGCTGTCTTCAACATCCTTGCAGTAGCTGCCTGCTGTGGAATCGGAGCCGGCATGGTATATGGGGAACCTTCTATCTTGCTCATCGAAAACGAGTTAGTGCTGCGAGTCACTAACCTAGGGCTTAATTATAATACCTCCCGACGTTTTGGTCCACTTCATAAAGCCCTTTTTAATTCAATAAAAAAAAATGAAGCGGTTTTCATATATCACTCGCATATTTTTAAATATAATTATGGGCTTAAAATCTTCCTGAAGTATTTTGTTTTTTTTAATTTAATTTTGCTTTTTTTTTTACAATAAGCTCTTTTGTGGATACATTTCAAAACATAATTTAATGAATTCAATAAGAATGTATCTTAATTTTAAAGTAATCTGCGTCAATAATTCTTATAACGAAAATATAAATTTAGTATGTTTTGCTTAATTCATATCATTGAAAACAACTGGATCAATTCCAGCTTTCCTATTACGATTTTATATGCGCCGGCAACCTTCCTCATTGGTTTTAGAATTGAGTAAGAGGTTCACCGATTTCAACCAAATATCTTTTGGTAACACTACAACTATTAGAACTATCAGAAAAATATTAGACAAATGTCGTCGTGTTTCTTCCAATGGCTAGTAGAACCCGAGGAAAATAACATTTTATATAATATTAAACATAATTTATGTTATTTATTTTTGCCTTCGTGTTTTAACGTTATTGTTTACCAATCGATTTTTTTTTATTTATTTTTTAAGTAGAATAAGAAAAAAATATTGACCAAGGTTTTAGACGAGTTATAAGGTATAATAAATACCAAAAATCAAAAGGTGCTTCCAGTGAGCTGGACCAAGTAAATTTTAGTTGAAGAAAAAGCCAGTTGATTCGTTTTAAGGGTAATTTGAAACCCCTAAATACGACTTTTTATAGAAATTTTCTTCAAATTCAACGTTAAGAAAACCGTTAGAAAGCTGTATAACTGCTTTTTCGACACCAATAACGTTTGAATTTCATTCCTTTTTAAGCTATAAATTAAGGAAAATTCTCAATTATTTTAATTTATATTTTTGAATGTAATTTGTTTCCAAAGGTCAGATTGTACCATTTCGTGTTGTATATAGAACTTTTCGGGGTGCAAAAAACGAATATAAACTTTGTTGCTCACTAAAAAAAATCATTATTTCTAGATTAGGGATCAACCGATACCCATATTATATTTGGCATATCTATCTGGCCGATTAATTGTATCGGCTAATGTCAAAGACTGATATGCTGATATATCGGACTTATGGCCTTATTTTATCAAAATAGGTAGAACAGATCTTTTTTATATCTGTTTTTTCCTCCCCTCCATCATATTACCAGCAGACAGCTATATTCCAAAGACCGATATATCCCCTTATGACCTTGTCGAGATCGATAGAGTTTCACTTGGAATATTATTCGTATTCCTAATAAATGTGTCAATCAATTGTCAAGGGATCGACCGACATAGTCCAAAAGACCGATATTTCGACATTTGACCTGATTTTACCGAGATTGGTAGAGTTCGAACATTTTTGTTTGTTCCTCCTCTTCCTCTGATTTTTTTCATCCTATCCTTGGACTGATATATAGGAATACGAACTTATTTTATCGAAGTAGATAGAGTTTCACTTGGAATATTATCTTTATTGCTAAATAAATGCGTGAATCAATATTTTATATATATATATATATATATATATATATATATATATATATATATATATACACATATATATATATTGGACCGATATATCGGCTTTATGACCTTACTTCATCAACATTGGTAGTATTTGAATATTCACTGACTCGTTTATTCAGCAATAAGGAGAGTATTTCAAGTTAAATTGTCAGCACCTACATGGAATGAATATAATGGTATATCATATATAATGGCATATATATCATTCTTGGGCATTGTTGTATCGGTTACAATTCACATATGTCGATCCTTATAAGATTTGTTGACTCGTTTATTTACCAATGAAGGTAATATTGCTAATTGTAACTGAAAGAATAAATATCTCGTCTGAATTAATATACTGGCCGATATCGGTCTTTGGTGTATTTGTATAGTTTTTAGAATGTTATAGAAGTTGTTCCCTAGAAGATTCATTGAATCAGAATATTTCAAAGTGAAACTATAAGAACCACGAAGGGATGAATATAAAGGCCGATATATCGGTCTTAGAAATATCGGTATCAGCTGATGTTTCTATACAAGTCGATTCCTAGACGATTTATTAACACATTTAGTATCAATAAGCAGAAGTTTCCAAATGAAACTTTACTAATCTAGATAGATAAAGCCGTGCCCAATCCGCTTCTCTTTGGGTAGAAATGAAGAAATAGTTCCTGGAAAATCACCAGACATAACAGATGAAGAAGAAATAGAACGAAAGCAGGCAGCAACTTAGAAGCTAACTTACAGCAGTGATTTGTTATAAATTCACTGCCGCAAACTACCGTATTGCCTTAAAGGCAGGGTAGAGAGGGAATTAAAATGATAAATAAAGCCGAAAAGCTTTATGTAGATAGTGGATTTATTATATAGATGGTGGAATAAGGATATGGAGCCATGTAATTAAAATTACATAGCCATTGTCAAGTCAAACAAACCACTGATTTTTTATTGATTCTTTAATTTTATATTGATTCAACTTTTATCCACCAGTCTATGTGTGGATCCAAATTCCACACTAGGATTTGTGAAATAGTTGCTTGCTCAACTGGGTTTTTCAACAAGTTGGCTTTTGAACAGATAGCATCTCTAGATGCCTAAGGTTTTCTATGTAATTCAATCATCTAAATTAAGTCCCTTCCTCCATCTCTTGCTTTTTTAGAATCGTGGACTTTGAGAATATCTCTTTGTCAAAAATCATTAATAAGAAAAATGTCATGTACGCATTCAAGTTATTAATGAGCTTTTTCAATAATGTGATCTTCATTGAAAGAGATTTAGCTAATTTCCAATGACAAAATAATTATTGAAGAAATGTTCTCCCTTCCCCCAACATTGCAACGTACAGAGTGATTATAATTTTTTTTGTATATGTTAAATTAAACATTCTTTTTCAGTTAGTTGATAAAAGTTTATATAAATATGCTTATGGAGTATATGCACTGCCAGACAAAGTCATCTACAAATTTTGGTATGATTTTTCGAAAACGGGAACAATAAATATTTCTCTGATACGATAATGGAATTAGTGTAATTCTTATCATTTGCATCCTGAAACTGTAAATATTAATCACTCCTTGGGATTAAAAAGACAACTTAAGCACATTTCGCGGAATCTTGCTTATAGTTCCACATTAGTTTTGAATACGTACACACTATTTTAAGTAATTTTGGACATTTTGATGGTAAACAGAAGAGAATTCATTGAAGAGAAGTCGGTCCGAGTTCTTACTTTGACAGAAGAAGGTTTTTCACAAAGGCACATTGCACAGAGGCTCCAGCGGTCAGAATCCGTCATTTTCAGACTGATTATTACGTATCATGAGAATGAAGGGGATGCCAGAAAAAGGGGGCAAAGTCGTCCAAGGTCAACTTACTGGCAAATTTTTACAAAATTCACGCTGTTCGAGATCACCATTTTACAGGAAACAGCTTTGTATCCTACAGCGGTTCACACAAATTTCAGATCTAACAGTAAGAAGACGACTAAATGAGTATGGATTGATGACTCATTGTCCAATAATTGAACCCTTCCTTTCCAGGGAGCGGCAAGTTTGCCTAAGAACACCTACACACCTACAGAGCCATGTTTTATTCACCGACGAGTCCATTCTAACCCTAAGGTCTCGAGATAGACGCAAAAGAGTATGAGAAAAGAGGTACACTCCTTCTTTCTCAAAGGGTTGCTTTTGGAGGAGGCCCAGTGATGGTTTGGAGAGGCATGAATTGTAACTCCATTACGGATTTAATTCTTGGAGACGAGGGCTAGTTAACTACTTTGAGGTACCAAAGGGAGATCCTAGAACCACGTGTGATTAGGACCGAATTCATTTTAATGCATGACAGTGCCCTACCTCATGTCGCTCGGCTGGTGCAAAATTATCTTCAACAAGAAGAGAAAGAGATTATGGCTCAGCAAACCAGAGGTCCGGACGTGAACCCAATAGGGCAAGTAAAGGAAGAATATTTGAGGAACTTGATCGGTGGAATGAACAGGAGAATGCTGGGCATTGATGAGGTCTAGAGGAGGAAACAGTTTCTACTGATTTTATTCAATAATCTGTATTTTACTTTTCTTTTACAAAGAAAATGCATTTATTTTTCTTTCTTAATTAATTTTCCCTTCCAATAAACTAATATGTCATACTCAAAAAGAATCCTTTTAAAACTGTCCATTAAAATTATTGGAGTGATCTTTCAGTTTTGTCCGACAATGTATATCTCCAAACTGTTACATTACAATTGATAAAAACTATAGATTGCTAAGATTTACCTTAAACCATTCTTTTTGACTGTAGGTGGTTCCTCTACACTGGTGGCCTTTAACAAGGGATTGTTTAGCATATGGTGTCACAGTTACTATCTTGATTTGCATCATCCATGATGAAAGAGTGGAATGGTATGAGGCTCTTGTTTTAGTACTACTCTATACAGTTTATATCGGAATAATGTATTGGGATAAAAAAATACAAGGGTGCACAAGAGGTTTTCACGATGAAAAACCAGATCAGCAAGCTTCGCCAGGTGATATAAAAAATATTTTTGCAATCATGTTTATTTTTATGTACTTATTTTAATAAAAAACAAATAATTTAGAATTTAGAGAAAATGAATAAAACGGTAATAATGATAGAGATCAATTTGATCACAGAACAAACTGAAAGGGAAGTAGAATAGCGCGTGCGTTAACAAACAAATTATTATAGTCTTATTTTGTATGTTTGGCATTTTAGACAAAATGTCTGCATACAATAAAACACTAATCAAATGTTTATAAATTAGCACTAATTGCTTATTTAAGATCCAGATTTCATCAAAACAATATATCATAAAATTTAAAGTTAGCTATTCCGCAAGTCAGGTCTACTTCAATGTATTATTTTATATATAAAGAAATAATAAATGATCACTCTTTCCTGTAATTTAAATAATCTCCTGCTCTATAGAAGGTTCATATAATACTAAAATATGTGATGAGCTTGCTTATTGCTCTGATGCACAAGGCATGGTTCCGTTCCAATCCATTCCTCTTTTATAACTTCTTTGTTTAAAGTATTTCTATTTATTCATCTGATTCATGTTCCTTATGTAAACCTTCCTGTATTCTTATTTCAGGTTTGTCCAGAGTATATTGGTTGGTTTATATTTCAAATAAATGATATAAAAATATTTATATTAATCAAAATAGGCTCCATTACTCTCAATAGATTTATACATTACTTTAATACATTGGTACCTTTCCATTCCATCTTAATAGAATGTTAAATTGTTAGTAGCATATAATACCAAGTGTTGTCATGTTGTCGATTAACCGAAAATGGCTTCATTAATGTAGAATTGACGAATTGCATCAATTTGCGGGTAATGCTTTTTGGTATTGATTGTTTTGCCAGATTCAAGAAGCTGTTGTGAATTAGCCGACATGAAGCCCACCAAACAATAACCATCACCTTTTAGTGATGAATTGGGGGCACTAAAAATTGTTGTATTGCTTTTCCGTTATCGAGCCATTGTCCAGAATGTTTAGAACTGTAGAAATCCACTTTTATTATATGCACCAATGGCCAGAAAAGCTTGTTTCTGTTTCGGCAAAGAAGTGCTGTGCAAAACTTTTACCTTTAGAATTGCATTGAGATGGTCTATTTGCTAACTGAGAGTTTCTATGCAAATTCTCAAACAATTGGTCTGCAATTTTCTTTGAGCAAAGTTCTCAGAACATCGTCATCAAGGGGAGAACGATCATCTACGACCATCTGTGACTTCAAGGCTCAAGTTTACCTTTCAATTTTTCTTAAACTATCGTTGAACGGTTCAATCATTCACCACCATCGACCCAAACTTCATAAATGTTTCTGGTTGTTTAGTACCGCTTCAACATAGTTTAAACTTCTAAAACAAAATTAGGCAAAAATCACACTTTGAAATTTTAGTAAAGAATGAATTACTTCTATAAGAACTATTGAAATGCTACAGAAGATAAAAAACATTTTTGTTTTAAAATGGATTAATAAGTGTAAATACTCCAATATATACATTGAATAATCATAGAAAAAAATAATAATCTCTAAAACGCCAACAGTATTTTTTTTTTTATTGGTACCCCCCTACCTCACCATTTCTGGCATACAGGGTATTCTAGAGTAACTACCAAACGTACAATAATCAGAGTGAGAAGGTCGAGATTTATTCCGTGGATTCGCCACGAAATAAATTTTAACTCGCTCAAGCCACATTCGAACCGGCATCGTTTGACGTGAGAATTAAAGGACAACGCTTCAACACGCTCAGCCATCACACCTCAAAACTATAAAAACGCAAATAGTTTGTTATAAATGGCGATAAGTGATATTTTTGGGAACATTAAATTCTTTCAATGGTCAAAAACCGAGCATCTATTCATGATTTAAAACAAGAAAAGCGATTGATAAAATTCGAAAAATTTTCTACACCATTTCCCCATTTTCGCTTACATCTACATAGTCGGAATACAGTTTGTACGGTGAAAATCAAAGCATTCGTTCATGAGATAAAAGAGAAAAAGAGAATGAAAATTCGGAAAATCACTCCTGTTTCCACTGGCCTGTTTCTAATCAGTTATAAAATTGTTGGAACAGTGAAAACCCGAGCATCCATTTACGAGTTAAAAGAAGAAAAGCGAATGAAAATTCGAAAAATATTCTACACCTTTTCCCCCATTTTTGCATAGGTCACCTTTCATTGAGCACTTCATTACATTTTTTTTCGGTAACGGCACAATCTCTATAACCGTCACTGTAAATTACAGTTTTTTACATCACAATTTACTGGTTTTTAAGTTACAAGTTTTTACAAAAGTCCATAGAGAAGAAATGAAACATCGTTGATTTCACTTTGTAGAATCAAAATAAGCGTCAAGACAAGATTGACCAGAAAAGCTCAAAACCTCATTTTCCAAAGAAATAGTACTAACAAGCTTTTGCAGTGAGGCTGCCGATATACAATAGAAAGTCATAGCAACGAATAATGATACAAAGAACAGTCTCTAAAACGCAACAGAAACTTTTATTATGATACCCTTATCTCACTATTTCTGGCAAACAGGAGGTTGTTTTAGAGGTACAACCACACCTATTCCAACCAGAATGGTTTCTTTTTTTCCCCCCCATTACTGGGGTCAATACGTTAAGTTTACGTACGCCCGCTACTGCCAATAAAATGTTTTATTATTAATTTCTTATTCTATAATTTCACGGGATATCTTAACTATCGGAACAGTGAAATGACAGGTTCTACTGTGGTGCGGCCCTATGCACGGATGTGCACCATGCTAATGTGGCACACCTTATCCTCTGCTGGATCGCATGGTTAGCCCTCCCGGCACTCTGCAACCGGCCTATTCTGCATCCGTCCGGTCCTCATCAACCTTCTTCTTTTGCTTCATTCTCACGCGACTCGCCGATATCGGGTTGCGGGGTCCTACCAAGAGTAAAGTGCAAAAGGTTCACCATTTCCTTCCATCCGTAGACAAACTCTCTGCAGAGGGAGTAGTTCGTCTCTTCCAACAGTTGGGTATAGTCCGTTTCGGTGGGAGCGAATATGCCCGCTTTATCGATAAATACCGTCTTTATCGACAACCTGCCACAGTGTCCTTCTATGTCACCATATGATATCACATGTTCTATCATTTCGGGGACTCAACAGGTGTTTCATCAGGGATCAATATTCTTCTCATGTGTGTTTAGTTTCCCCCGAAACCTCCGTATTCAGTCAGGACCTGCGAAACCCTGTATTCTAGGAGAACCCATTTCTAAGCTCCAAATTGTAGCACAACTAAAAATATCAAAATGTGGGATGCATAACATCATTTCTCATACAAAGAAACATAGCCATACCATGATAAAGCATCTATAGGAAGATCTAGAACAATCCATCTTACATGATCAGCTTATTAAAAATAGCTAGAAAAGGAGAAGACTGGCTGCTCTTCAGATAAGAGCAACAGTCAAAACCTGTTACCAAAAAATAGTTTCTGTTGCTACAGTAAAAATAACACTCAGAAAGTCCAACTTATCAGTACGTGACTGTTAAATAAAACCACTTCTACGCTCTGCTATTCGTCATACACTATTAGACCAAATTATTCCTCAGTACTTGATTTCAACTGGAAATGATAGGGAAAAGGCTCAATATATTGTGTCAGGTTGTTACACAGGCTTTTGAAAAGGGCATTTTGTACAAATTATGGTGCATTTACATTTACTGTTATTACTACTGTTGAGAGAAACTAGTCCGGTAAGTGGTCCGTTTTGCCAACTCCCGACGGCTACGTTGAGATAGTGAAATAGGGAATGTCAGGTTCCATATTCCGGGGTCGTCGAGAAATGAAATGTAGCAGACCCGTATGGGAATCGATCCATTTCCTGGGGCCGTCGAGAAATGAAATGTAACCAACCCAGGTGAGAATAGAACCCACAAAATTCTGGGACCCACGCCCCAACGAGCTCGGCCATCCTGTCCTTGTGGAAATACTTAACAAAGAGGAATAATAATAAAAAATTGAAGGACCATGCATTTCTGTATTTAATGAGTTCTACTTTTTTATTATGTAACAAGTCCATGATTCGAAACTATCTCTTGATCTTGATTTGATTGAGCTGCTTTGGAAAGAGCTTCATAAAAAGTAACATGCAGCAACTTCACAAGCATAAAAAGATTTAGGAACTTCTGACAGGTTCTTGGAATATAGGCAATTTATGAAGTGAGGCAAACCAAATGCTACAAGTGGTCAAAGCAATCTTGACAATTAAGGATGAAGAATATTTAATGAAAAAAAATGTTTAATTGAATTTATTTTATTTTTTTGCTATGTTACTCTAAAATTGCATTATTTTATATACTTTTGTTTTATTTTAGTATCAATTAAAAAACAATCCTTTCCAAATGTTTTCCAAAATTTATGAACTTTTCTCAAAAATTTTAGTTGGTCTTAAACTTTTGATTGACCATATATATGAAAATTTGTTCAGTTACTTCTTATTTTATTGTTTTCTCTTAACGCGTTCAGAATCTGGTGAACTCAGAATTGGAGAACCACCACAGCAAAATGGAAATGTTAAGCAAGCAGTTCCTACAGAAGCAATTTCTACATCAGACCATCAGGAAACAGGATGTAAGATATTATAATTAAATTATAAATAAATAAAATTATATTTCATGAAACAAATATGTACCCTAGAGGTAATGGACACCATGTCCATTTTTTTATTAAATAATTTAGTAACTTAGAATCAAATTTTAACAGCTCAAAGTGATGGAAAATTGTTTCCCGTGAACAAATACAAAAATGATGGTGCTGTTCTTTACCTCCTGGGTACAGAGAAATATTGGTTAGCTCAACGTGTAGAAAAAATTAGATTTTCACTAATATGTGCCTAATTCAATGTGAAACTATCCATTCACAGTACTTGTATTGGCTTAATTGTATACAGTCAATCGACTTAATTGTATAATTATTTTCAAGAAAACTAAATGGAATTTTCATAGAAACATTTAAAATTTATTTCTAGTTTGACTCATAAAAAATGAATATTATACAGTGATTGCCACTGATTTATATGAATAGGTAAAGTAAGAGGATTTGATAATTTAGAGATGGAATGGAGCTAAGCATGAGGGTCACCATCAGAGATGTGGTTGCTTGTTAGACAAGGACCAAGAACTCCTGGTGATAAGAGTTCTCTACTAGTTCTTGGTATCCGTCAAGCCAGTGACCATTGTCTTGATTTTGACCAACATGCTTAGCTCAAAACATCTACAAATCTAATAAACGATTGCAGATCCTGATTATTTGGCATCCTCTAATATTCTTAAAGTTTTTTAATTTATTCAAAATTAATTTCTACTCATGGCACACCTCACCAGATCTTTTTTGTGGATGTTTCTGAAATGCTTACCATTTAGGGTCTCCTCTGGTCTTAACCTGCTCCATCCTATGAATTCGTAAAATTGAATTCAATGTTAAGTTTACATTACTTCTATGGCTAGTCTGCCTTTATTTTCCTTTTTCTTTTATTGTATTTCTTTCATTATTTCTGTGTTTCAGTGTGGGAAATAGTGAGTTTTCCATATAGAAAAGGTATTGTTAGGAAATTAGCTTGGGTTCTTGTATTACCTATACATACTGTTTTTCTGATTACCATTCCTGATTGTGAGAAGCCAAGATTCAAAAAGTGGTTTCCAGTGACTTTTCTGATGTGCATTATATGGATTGGCTCTTTATCATACATGGTTGCCTGGATGATTACAATCGTGGGTAAATATAATGTAATTATATCTAGTAATATATGGATGCAATATAATATGTTTAAAATATCTAGTTTTCAACTTTAATGGAACAGAAATCAGATTGTGGCCATGTCGTAGATATATTGTAATTAGTCTTAAGCCAAATTGTAATTATGAAATTTTTAAGTAGGCAGTCAATATTTAAGACCAGCTTAAAGATCACTTAAATTATGCAGTTAGTAGTGTAGCAAAGAGTTAATTTTTAAAAGAATTGTTACAAAAATTTCTGATGAAATGTCATCTATTGAATTTCTTCTAAATAAGAGATCTACTGTTAACAGAAAAATATGGTCAAGTAGCCACATCATATTTGGTATAGGATAGAAGGATAATTCTAATTGGTCTCTCAGTTAAGGAGAAATACAATTCTCTAGGTGTGTAATAGTTTCATTGAAAACATTTTTGGTGTATTCAATATATAACTGATAAATAAGTAAAAGTAAAAAAGTATGTCGCATGTTACACTAACTTAAGTTATGGCACTAGTAGCACATGTGGTCCCAAGGAACTCTCTGTGGCAATAGGAGTGAGATAAAGAGGAAGGTGTCCTCACTTTTCTGGACACCATTCTAATGAATGAGTGTCTTAATCATTTGTATAATGGTTCATATATAAACACATAGATCTTTTTATTGCTCATAATGTGCTTCACAACTTAAGAGAGAGCTGGCTTGGTAACATTACTTGCATTAACCTGGCAACCGCCATCTATATCAACTTTAGTGTAGCCAGTATATAAATAAATCATTGATATCTTAATACAGCATACACAGTTTTTAAATACAACAACTGCTATTTGAGGAGCAAGTAGCTTTTAGACCTGAAAGGACATTTTTTCCCTAAGGATGATTATAGAAAAAGCATGGAACACAGCAAGGCAATCTACCTGTCATTTCTTGATCTGACGGCAGCCTTTGATACAGTCCTAAGGCAAGAGATATGGGATACACTGGTTAAAAGAAGATTACCACCAAATCTGGTGAGTGCTATTAAATACACCTACCAATTTCTAAAGGGAATCACAAGGCTCAATGACATTGATTCCTTTCCACTTTTATAAAAGAGTAAAGCAGGGCAATGACTCAGCTCTCTGCATTTATCCTGCTTATCAATGAGATCTAGGAGATATGTAAAAGGAGAAATCTGAGAGCAGAACTCCATGTAGGATATTGAAATTCATCTCCAGTACTGGCATGATTTATATGGATGATATAGCTCAATAGCAGACTTCCTGAAGCCTCTGAGACTTAAGTCATCTTTAAATGGATAGAACAAAGAATTAAGGATAGTAGAAAAACCAAACTAAAAGCAAAGGCATGTGCGTAGGAAGAGAGAATGTAGAGCCTAGAATTTTATAATAGTTGACTCCTAGAATTAATGAATATGTATATGTATCTAGGGTCAGGTAAATATGTCAGCTCATATTTATTGAATTTATTCATAATAATATATAGGGAGCAGGATATCTCAGTGATGGGGCACTAAGCTTCCAATGTTCAAGGTCCCAGGTTCGAATCCCGGCTCATGGCAGAAAAATTATTTATTCTGTTTCATTGGCCATGGAGCGACCCTGGGGTAGGAATACCCTCCTGGGGCACACCCAGCCTCTACAAAGTGAGTACCCTTAATTAAATAATTGATTAAGGGAGAAAACCTGACGGTTGAGTGTGATCCTGACCTGATCCCCTCCCAGCACAACCATTGGCCTTGTAACAGTATTTTCTCTTAATAGTACTGAACCCCAAGACCCTTCATGGGTTGTGGTGGTGGTATAGGATTTTAATTTATTATATTATTATTATTTGTATTATATACTTATTTAATGCTATTTTACTTTTTATTTATTTCAAGGAGATACTTTGAAGATCCCAGACTCAGTAATGGGGATAACATTCTTAGCTGCAGGAACTAGTGTACCAGAAGCAGTATCAAGTGTTATAGTAGCTAAACAGGGTATGTTTTTTTTATTTTTTATTTTAATAGTCTTAAAATTAAAAGTGAAATTCATTGTATTAATTATTATCAGTATTAATTAATATTTATTTAATCATATGAGTATTTTACTAATTACTAAAATCTAACAGTTTGATTTCAAAGTGTTTTATAATTTATTTATTATTGGCTCACCTACAATCATAAAAAAATAATTATTCTTAACATATAAACATTATAGCATATGTGGGAAACCTTTTTATCATTAGAGGCCACATTTAAGTTAAGTAGTGTTTTTTATGGATTCTCCTATATTTTTTTAAAATTTCATTGTTATTTTTAAGGTATAACATAAATTTTTATTTTCATATTTTTGTAATCTGTATAATTAAATATTAATTAATAGTAGAGTTGATATTTATGCAAGCTCCACAAAAATGCACATAGACCACATATATTCTATCGGAGGCTGCTCACTCCCCGCCTATGTATTGTGGTATAATTCTCAAAAGATCCATATAAATAGAGGAGATAAAGGGTTATCCATGCCCCTACCAGGTGATAGTACTTTGAAATAACAGCTTCGATATCTAATAAATTATTAATAAATTTGAGGATTTTTAAAATTCATTTTATCATTGTTGTGGAGTTTTTCTGTGGTAAAAGAAAATGTGAATCAATTTCTGAGGCCTAATAACCTTATTCTGACAGTTTATACAGCAGACATAAATCATTGCTATTATCGTACAGAGTAAAAAAGATTAGGATATAATCTACATTTATGTGGCATAGCTTATAAGATACTATTCTCTGCCAATGGTAGGAGGCTGATATCACACATGGAGAAAGAATTAAGCGAATATCAGTGTGGCTTCAGGAAGGGTAGATCGACTATTGATCTGATCTTTACTGCTCGACAGGTGCTAGAGAAGTCACTGGAATACAACGTCAACCTGCATCACCTCTACATTGATGTTCAGCAGGCATACGACTCAGTGGATAGGCATGTTTTGATGAGGGACCTTCTCTCTCTGGGTGTGTCTAAGACACTTACTCGCTTAGTAAAAATGACTATGGCAGATATCAGATGCAGAGTGAAACTAAAAGGATTGTTCTCTGAGGTGTTCTCTGTGGTTTAGGGACTAATGCAAGGAGACACCAAGGCTACTCACCTTTTTAACATGACCTTGGAGAAGGCGGCAAGGGCTATAAAAACCAACCCGAGAGGTACCATCTTTGACAGCTTCACACAACACATCGCATACGTAGATGATGTGAAGATTGTGACAAGGGCGCTCCCAGCGCTGGTGGGTGCATTGAAGGAATTTGAGATCGCTGCAGCAGCTCGGGGTCTACAAATAAACGAGCAAAAGACAATATACATGAAGAGTTCAAGACATCGTCCTCATCAAGATCGGACACTAAACATAGGCCTACACGAGTTTCCAGTGTGCAGAGAGTTCAAGTACCTGGGATCCCTTATGACAGCAGACAATGATGTAGGAGCTGAGACAGGAGCCCGGATTGCTGCGGGAAGCCGATGTTTTTATGCCATATAGCATAAATATATATTAATAATATATATATATATATATTAGTAATAATGATATAAATGTAGATTATATCATTATCTTTTTCATGCTGTACAATAATATGAATGATTTATGTCTGCTGTATAAACTGTCAGAATAAGATTATTAGGCCTCAGAAATTGATTCGCATTTTCTTTTACCACAGAAAAACTATAATAAGTAAAAATTCAAGGAAGTCTGTGCAAAATAATATTATTATTATGTTGGAATTAGCATTGCTGTGGCCATGACAATGAGAATCTTAAACAACCACAACAATGATAAAATGAATTTTTTTAAATCTCCAAACATTGAATATCAATTTAATCACTAATTTTACAATCAATTCATGACAATAATGGTATTAATTATAAGGAATTACAACAAGGGCTCTAACATAACAAGCAAAGGAATATAATCAAAATCCATTAGCTTGTTATTCACTCTTCTCAGCCTGCTGATGGGGAACAAATGATAGTGAAAGTTACAAAAATTGTGAAATTTATCAATGTTACATTTAGAATTTAAGGACTGCCACAACTTTTTAAAATCCCAAAATTTATAATAATTTATTTGTTTCCAGATTCTAGTATGAAATTTTCATTATTCACAATAGTGGTATTTTTTTCAGTGACATTTTTAAAAATTCTAACGCTTATTTTAACACAATAAAAAGCTAATTGAAATAGTTTTTGTAAACATTCAATTAAGACTTTAATGTAGTAAAACACTTTTTTCTGAAAAATACATAAAAGTAATGTTTATACGTGTTTTAATACAAAAAACAAAATTGTTCTAGAGCGGCTATTACAATGAGCCTTGATGTGCTGATAGCAATATAACAATAGTAAACCATTCCAATATAATAAAAACATCATGTCTTTCAGAAAGACCTGTTTCGGGAGGCCATATTACAGCCAGCAAGAACATATACTGATCTTTGGGCCCTTTTCTTCAAGTTGGACTTTAAAGTTGCCTGTTTTTTAGATTCACAGATTTGCACTTACAAACATCATAATAAATACCACTTTAAGGCCTTTACAGAATCACAAAGTAGATTATCAGATCTCTTTTAGGAATTAGTCTAAGACTCAAGAGTCAGAAAATGTTAACTTTTTTAATCATGTGCTTACTTTAACAAAGGGATATTAACATTTCTTTATCTTCATTTTTCATATCGAAATTAGATGATAATTCATTCTTATCTTAAAGTTTGTGATGGGGTCCATAGTGATCTTAAGACATTGTCACACAATGTTTAAATGTTTCATACCTGTAGTAGGAGTTTTGGATGCCTTTAATAATAAGTCATCAAGCATTCAATAAAATCCAACAATCAGGATTGTCTAATGGAATATCCATAAAAATGAACATTTTTTGTTATTGATTAAAGTCTTCCAGTTGACATTATTTTTAAAACGATTTTTCTAGGTCATGGATCAATGGGTATTTCAAATTCGCTTGGATCAAACACTTTTGACATTCTTTTGTGCCTGGGTCTTCCTTGGTTCATAAAAGCATCATTTCTTCCTACTAGTGCAGGAAATCATTTTGTTGGAATTAATTCTCGTGGCCTTGAATATTCTGCCATATCACTACTATCTACTCTTTTGATGTTGTACATAGCCTTCGCAGCTAATAAGTTTAAACTGGATAGTAAGGTAAGACTACCAATATTATTAATATCTCAACAATTTCATTATCAATTGATTTTATTTTTCTATTTATTTCGATAAAAACAAGATTACATTAATTTTGTAGAAAATATTTTGTATAACAGATATTTCATAGAAAAAAACTAGTCCAAACTTACTTTTAATAATCTATTTATTGAATAATAATACAATCAGCCACTTCTGGAGGGCTATAAGTATTAGGGCTAAAAGTTCTCATTTATACAATATATAAAAATAATAGAGAAATAAATATAAATATAAAAAGTAAATAAATAATACTGATGAAGAAAGTAAATAAAAAGAAAAAAAAGTAAACAAATAACATAAAATAGAAACTTCTAAACACAATCATACCTATATTAGTCCAAACTAAAATAGTATTTTATAAATTTTGAATTTACCCTCAAAATAATTTAATATTTTTAACTGGAAATACTTAACAGGTGTGGATTAAAAAATAAAAATTAAACAAAAGTACTTTTTTTTTTAATACAAGTAATACATCGAATGTAATATATAGTCAATTAGATGTATTACTTATTCATCCTCTTTCTTATAAATATTTCAAAAATGACAGAAAATGGTAGCTGATCATTTTGAAGGGGTTCCAAGACACTCAATCCAGAAGCAATTCATTCATGTTAAGGTTGACTTATATTTTGTGGATCTACTAAATGTATTTGGATCTTCACTCTCTGACTAGGCCAGGGTGGTTATCTATAGAAGAACTTTTGACATGGCCCAGTTTGAGTACCTGATGTACTCAAGAATGGTAAAACCATTAAACAAAACAGTTTAACTGATATTTGTTTAACAATTGATCATTTAACCATCTATAACATTCAATTTCATGCATCAACAAACTTTATTTTAATTTATGTTGTCACATAAAAGAAAATTTAAATAGCTAATATCTAAACTATATATAATACGATAATGTAGATCCCTTTTTCGGCTCTCATGAGCGATGGATTTCAACAAATGAGGTAACAAATGAATGATAATTCCAATGAGAAGTAGCAAATACCAATTTCAAAGCCTTTATATCTTACTATAACTACAATAAAAGTCATTAAAAAAATTAGAAGTTTTCAAAACTCTGATGGTTTCAAAAGTAGATGAAGCGAGATAAGATAATTGTGTTTTAAAGTTTTTTCACAGACATCAAGACCGGATATAGTGCCAAAGGAACTAAAACAAACTTCGAGGAGCTAAACATCCATAGAAAGTGGAGGAAATAGCTCTATGGTACTTTGGGCACTTCTAATTATATTGAAAAAAAATTTTTAATAGATAAAACATCTGGTGTGGTACCCGCATCACACACCTTTCAATTACTGCCCTACTTAGAGTATAAATAGGTATTTTCATATTTAGGGAAGTGAAAGTAAAATTTGTAGACAGTATTACATATTCATTTAAAACAATTATTTAACATATTTTTCTCACCCATCAAATCTGTTAAATTTATTTATTGTTATCCATTTTTAAGTATTTTATGATTGTAAACAATATCTCAATATATTAATGGATTTATGGAGAAAAGGAGATTTTTTGGAAAAATTATGAACTTTATCCGAAAACACTATCATCTATATCTCAATAACAAATACACTTGTTGTAACAATCATTTCTAGAAACTATTTCAATTTATTAATTTAGACTACAATCGGTTGAACAATATAATGTAAGTAAAGCAATAATGGTTATTTTTATTTACAGGTTGGGCACACGTGTCTTCTTATGTATTTGCTGTTTCTCATACTTGCAACACTTATTGAGCTTAATGTATTTTTTACTGTGAATCTTCCTACCTGTGGACGGTGATTGTGGGTTTAATTTTTTTCCTTTCAAATTTTAAAAATTTACATGATTTTTGTAATCATGGTATCCTCATGTTATTAGTAATGATGATAAACAAAATAACGAGTGTGGAATGAGTTGTTGATGGGTTCAATCTACAAAGCTTTGCAAAAAAGGAAACCAAAAATAGTTGAAGATGATAAACACAAAAGATAACCAAATCTGAGGACCCATACAATGATGTATAATATTTCCATGTACATAAAATATTGTATGTAGAGTTAATAAATATAGACATATAAATATGTAAACATAAACAACGATTAAGTCATTGTACATTAAGTAACATTCCTTATAAAAACTTATGTTAATATTTTTCAATTTCAGATTGGCCAATAGAATAAAAAAAATTAACATTTGTATTCACAGTCTTTTTATGAAATCTATATACTTGTTTATAAATACTTATGAGTATATAAGTATGTATAAATAATGTATTTATTTATACATGTTTATGTGCATGTGTATGTATTGAGTGTTAATATTTTCTAACATTCTTATGCATTTTTTTTATTTTCAAGACATAAAAAATCATATTATAAAATAAGATTAATTATTGTTGGTATAAAGTGTTATATTCCTATCACATAATATTTTTAATTCTGAGTCCACTTCTGTGTGCTACTGAAATCAATTTATTTTAATACTTTCATATGATTTTCTTTTTAGAATTTTGTGATATACATTACATGAGAATTCCAAACTTACCCACTGACAACAGTTAATCAAGCTGAAATCAAATAACTCTGGCTCAATATTAAAAAATTCAGTTTGTTATTACTTTTTAAACTTATTTATTTTTGTTATATTTACTTAATGTACCAAATAATAATAAGCTGTAACATAAATTCAAAAGAGTGACAAATTAATTTATCATAAGTAATAAATAACAGGTTTTACAAATTTCTTGTAAAATATTTTTGATAATAAATTCAATTGCCATTTTTTTTATTTATGTATATAACTGTTTTAATTAAAAAGAAACAATCTTAAATTGAAAAGTTTATCGCCCACTTCATCAGACAAAAGTTTACTTTTTTCAGATAATATTCTTCTATTGATCATTTTTTCTATTGTCAAATTAACCTTGACATGTTTTAGAATATATTCATTATTCTAAACAATAAGATTATATTCATGTAACAGAAAGTATAACTTTGGAGTGCTAATTTAATTGGTGTAAACTAATATAAGAATTACTAGCTGGTATGAAAAACTTAATTTTTTTTTATTCTATTAATATTACTAGTTTGAATTATCTCATTTGACTGATTGGCCAAAATTTGATATTGCGTCTGATGCAGTGGGAGATCCCTAAGTTTTATAACTTTTGAATTTGCAGTTTTTTATATAATAATATTTCTAAAATTATCTTAAAATCATTCATCATTTAAATTTTTACTTATATCTTTGCTTAGTGATTGATTTAATTTTTTTTTTTTACTTTTAATTTTGTTTTTTACCAAATGAAAGTAACTTTAACTTATTAAATGGCATTGTTTTTCCTGATGTATCTCTTAGTTTTCCTAAGTCAAATTGTAGCTGTAAATATTTTTCTATAAAACACCATCCTTACTTTAGTAAATTTGAATAATTAAAAAATAAAATAATATAGGGTGTTTAAATGTTAGTCATTACTAGGCTAAAATAATGTTTAAAATAAGATACTTTGTGTATTTATTAATTTATAAATATACTAATAGATTATTTTGTTTTTCTTTTTTTTTTTATTAAATACTTGAAGTAATTTCTGTATCTCTTACCTTACTTAACAAAGTTGAATTATATAAACTTTTCAAGAGTTCATATTAATCATATTTCAGTACACTCCTTCTGCGGTTTTCTAATTAGAATTATATATTTATATGATGAATATCTGACGTGTCTCCTTACACAACTTCCTTTGAAACATAGAGTGCAAACAACAATATGAAAGTTGTTACTGTATCTTCACTAATGCAAGATTAAGATTTTTTTTTTTCCAAATGGATATCTGAATAGTTTGAATAGAATAGATGTATAGTTCTGTAATTATTTGAAAAAGCAATAGGTTTCAATGGAACCATACACAAAATACTTTTAATGTAATAAGTCCTCCAATATTTTGCTAATCCAAGACAAATTCAGTTGTTTTTTTTATAGAGACCTTATATTTTAATTAAATGTAAGTTTTAAATTAAAGTAAATTGTATTTATAGAACATTTTGAGCTAAGCACAAATAAAATTTACTTTTCGTCATAATTTTTCTGTCACTTTTTTTTGTTTAGGAATTTACAGTGTCTATTTTTTTGGCTATCCACTTTTCTAATCAACGATGGGAATTCCAAACAAGATGTATAGTATACTTATTATTTAGGAAATTTTTCTTTAATAAATAAAAAGTGGATTTAGGCAATTATTTTTATTATAAAACATTCCAGATCATGGAAAAACGAGAAATAAAATCTTTCATTCCTCCTCTCCTCAGGGCTATCGTTCGGAAGTGGGGAAGAACTTACAATTCTTGGCTCAAATCCCAAACGATAACCCTGAGGATGACCCACATGTTTGGTTTGAAACATCAGCTAATCTAATAAAAATTCTTGGCTGTAAATCCTGACAATTTGTTTCATGCATTTAATAGATTAATATACTACATATCTAGTTTGGAATTCTCATCGTTGATTAGAAAATTGGATAGCCAGAAATATAGACATAGTATATTTTTATACAAATTCCATTTACACTTTATTTTATATTTACTTTTATTCTTGGTGATACGGTCCAGTAAGAACCTAGGCCTCTCTAGTGATCCTTCACCACTCTCCTCTATCCCGAGTGAGCATTCTCCATCTTCGAATTCCCATCCTTTTCAGGCTGTCCTCTACTTGGTCCAGCCATCTCAGGCCTAGTCTTCCTCTTTCACGTTTTCCAGCAGGCTGATCATCAAGTAAGCGTTTGGGAACCGCACCTCGGTGCATCCACGCCACATGGCTCAACCATCTGATCTGGTTTTACCGCACAATTGAGACCAAATCCGGCCTCGCATAGCTGTTTATTAGTGCTAATTCTCCATTGTTCCTGTTCGTCGGATAGATCCTGCAGGGAACCTTTCTCTCCCATGCGAGTAGCCTTTTTTCCGATGCTTTGGAAATCACTCAAGTCTCAGAGCCATAGGTGAGGACGGGTCTGATACTCCCGTGGTCTTTGTTCTGTAAGAAAAAGATCTTTAATTTAATATTTTTTTCATTGCAAAACAGAACCTATTACCGGCAGCCACCCTTGCTTTTAATTCTTCCACCATTTTATTGTTTTCTGTGATTAGTGCTCCCAAATATTTAAAATTTTCGACCACTTTTAGGGTGTGGTTACCAATTGTGATGCATTCGACTGTTTCACTTGGCTTTTTTGATGTTTGCATGTAAACAGTCTTCTGTTTATTTATTTGTAGCCCTAGTTCTTCAGTTGTGGTTTTGAATTCTTCTAATGCCCCTGCTAATGATGTTTTATTTTTTGCCATTCACACTTAAACATCAAAAATTTAGAAAATGGAAAATTATGATTTTTTTATTTACAGAATTTAGCTTAGTTTAGCCGCTGAAAAGTCCCATTTAAATGATTATAACCATGAAAAATTCTGGTTTCAACTAAAGTAAATTTTTTCTAGTTTACAGTGAAGCCATCTTTAATTCCTTAAATTAAATATTCTTTTTAGTTATCGCTTCCTATTCACCAAAAAGCATGACTTGCTTAAAAAAACAAAACTTGTGTTTTCTACTTTTCTGCCAAAAATTGTTCCATTGTTTATATTCACTTTTTTGTAGGTCTTGAGGTCTCCTATCAATCCAATAAAAATTTCCCTCTGCTTACGGGACACCCTGTATATCTCTACTGTTAGTGCAAAAATTGAGTTTTTTTACAAATAACATAAAAACTGATTATTCTTATATGATTAATTAATATAATTTCACATTTTATTTCTCTAAGCTATTTTCCATAGTAGCAGACTATTTATTGTAGTTGCAGACTACAAAATCTCACCTTTAGCACAAATAAAATTAACATAGAACATTGTTTCATACGACCTTTTGCACTAACAGTAGCGATATACTATCAGTTTTATCTACATAAAATACATTTCTATCAGTTATAGAGGGGAACAATCTATTGAAAAATGTATTCTCTATATTTAATATATTAATAATGCTAGATACCACAGACCCCTCTCCTCTGGTAGACTAGATTGGATTTACAGTTGATATTGGATTTCTTTTCCAAACATATCATGTTACCAATTTACTTTTGTGACAAAGATCGGGGCCTATAGGAAAATTACTAAAAATGAAGTTCTAAATTAGTTAATAGTTCTAGTTTTACTAAGTGTTCTACAGATTACATTATATATATTTTTAGAAACATTATAAGGAGGATTTTAGTGCAATTAAAATATTTATAAATACATCTTAAAGTATGAAATCGAGAATACTGATATGAGACATGATTATTTAAATTACCTTTTCAATAGATTGTCAATACACTGCGTGTTCAAAATGCGAAAATCTTTCTTCAAAATTAAAAGATCTTGGCCTTAGTGGCAATGCCTAAAAAATGTGGCAGAGAGCTTATGGCGAACTAAAAAAAAAATACTCAAAAATCTTAAAGCTTTCTTACAAGTATTTAATCTATAATTTAAGTTTTTAATAATTTAAAAGCCTATCCCCTCCTCCCAATAAAAATAGATATGGGATAAGAATATGATTTCGTTCCCCTCTCCCCTCCCCATAAATGAAATCAATAACAATTAATCTTTATGAATGAATAAAATTTGTAAACTAAAATTTATTAAGGAGATAGGAAAAGTTGAATAGATAGACTAGAAGTAGATATGCAAGTACTTTAACTCGCCCTATGTTCCTATTATTGAAAATTTAGTTTGTATTCAAAGATTATCATATGTATCAACAATTTTATGAATAATTTATGTGCACTCTTCCATTTTTTCGTGAAGATTTTATAATATTTTGGGTGGTAAATTTAAAGCATCGGAGAAATAAGAGTTTATCTGCCTCAAATCTTTAAATAAAAGTAAAAATATATAATATATTCAATCACTTTGTTAACATATTTTTAAGTGCATCCGTACGTAAAATATATATATATATAAATTTATATTATAAATAGCATTATATTGTTTGTTTTACAATCATTATATTGATTATATTAATTATCACTCATAATTTTTATACATGATCCGTCGCCCTCCCCCCTTCCAACCAGAATGGAAAATCTGCACCTATGTGGGTCAACATTTTTTTATTAGTAAATGATGCCAAACTAGGCAAAACCATACTTTTAACTTGAAGAGCAAACTTCGGCCCAACTCTATGAAATCAAAAATAAAAAAAAGGATGTAGATCGCATTGGTTTGATGATGTGACTGAAGATACCAGAGATATTTTCAGAATAAGGAACTGGATGAGAACTGCACAGAACAGGGAAAATTAGCAGAAGCTGCTGGAGAAGGGCCAGAGCTGGAGACTGGGCTGTAGAGCCATGATGATGAAAAATAAACACCTACTGAAGAAGTGCGTAGTTTTTTATTAGATTATGTTACCCCTTTGCCTCTTACAATGGCCAAACGTTGCTGTTCTGTGACGAAGCTACTGGACAAAACAAAAACTATAATGTATTCCAATTTTTAATGAGTTTGTAAGATTCAAGCTAATTATTCATTATTTTTCTGCCCATTGGAATTCTTTTCGGAAGCGTCTGACCTCATATGAGCAAAGTAGACAGAATTCATACACCCCTTGGGGTGTGGGGCTTGCCGACCGGACCAACGCGCTTAAACAGCACTGTGTGGACAGGAAACCAGATGGAAGATAATATGATAAAATAATTTCGAGTTCGTGTCTCCGTGCTGGGGGGAGGGCTTTTACCTCTGACATTAATTCCCCATCCTCAAATAGGTACAAAAGGAATTTATAGCAATTAAGATGAGTGCGCAATAGAAGAATGCCTCCAAAGTTGATTAACGGAATAGTCGAATTGATATAGTTAGATATAGTGTTTGATTAAATATAAAGAAATCGAATTAAATTCAAAGATGATTAAAGATCCAAACTATAGTTTTAAGATATCAATTTGAAAAATGTAAATATATTAATTAAAATGACAAATTTTTTATTTTAGCTACCTATTAGAGTTATGAGAGATATCAGAATTGTTTAATAAAATTTGACAGTTAAAAGAAATATTTATTTTGATTAAATTTCGGCTTTTTTTCTTATTATTATTTCATTTTAAGTCACATTATAACGGCAAAACGAAGTAGAAACAGAACTAGCAGTCTCGTTGATTATAATTGTTGAACCAGTTCGAGGAAACCATTCCACCTCTGGAACAGTTCGCAGTAGCTCCGATAAGAACGGTTTTTCTCGTTCCAAGTCACCTTAAATTCCATCTCAGGAATGGTTCCAGTCGGAACGGTTTTTCTGGTTCGGAGGAGCTTTCGGAATTTCGTTCCTCGGAATGTGAACGCTTTTAGGTTCCAATCTTTGATTTCATTCTAACGTCCGTTTGGAATAACTAGAATGCGGATTAAAGTATCAACGTGTTTATTATTTTAAGTTTAAATTATCAAGCTTAACAAATTAGTACAAATTAGGGTAGTTGTTTCGCAGACCAAATAACCACTTAATAAGACCCTCGTTGTCGTCTAAAATATCATTCTCTAAGTACCTGTTTAATTTAATCATTGTCTTTGATTCAGGACACACTTTCGGAGAATGTTGTTCCCGAGCTCTCTCATCAACAGTGCCTGCCTTAGGACGGTGCAGCCGAGGCATTACCCCGGGAGCCGACGAGAAGGTACGCTTGTTGAGGACGTTCACCAATCTTCAGGGGCTCTCGCTACTTGTCAGAAATAAAAAAAAAAAATAAAAAATTATTAGTTAAAATAATTAATTTTAGCCTATCTATAAAGCAACTGTATTAGGAAAATATTGAATGAAATAAAATTCATGTATAACATAATATAAAACAGCTCGGCCCGGGAGCAAAGCCACCCTGCTCATCAATGTTCCTAAAACATTCAGTTCGTTGTTTTTTTTCTTCATTTTTCTGTACTTCTCTTCGTTTATCTTCATTTTCCTATATCTCAATGATTTTATTATCGTTTTAAATATTTTTAGTATTGTGCAAATTTGCTCCATTATTCTCGATCTCGTTTCAAGTGTTGTTTGGAACTAAGGTGGGACGGAACGAAAACTGGAACGAATTCGAGTCCTGGAATGTTGCGTTCCGTTCGACCTGTAGTCGGAATTGCCCATCGCTACTTGTAATCAAAGAATGATCGCCTACTAATTAAAAAAAAAAATTTCGATTAAATATATGTCATCAACATATATATGGGCGAGGCATTTCAGATAATCAAAGAAAGAGTTTTATGGTTTCAAAATTTAAATTCTCTGAAATAGCGAGAGGAAAAGTAATTTGCCGGAAATACATAAAAAATACATTTACATCAACATTGCTATCGAAAACTCTTTCTATTGCTATGTCAACAGCCAGAGCTTGCCCACAAACAAAAATGAGGCAATTAACGGCAAAAAAGTGTGGCAATTAACGAAAAGAAGATCGACAATCTGAAGTAGCTCCTTTGTCTATGTCGTAGTAAAAAAGATTTAAAAAAAAAATAGGAAAAATTTCTTCCTCCTTTAAAAATTAAAGTACCTTTAATTTGGTTTATTTTAAATGATAACTATCTCTCATTGTTAGCAATTATAAAAAAAGACTAAATATAACCTTCGGAAGAATTTATTAATTGACTAAACGAGAAAATAGGAAAAATGTTTATTTAGGTAGAAATGACTTTCCGAAAATAACAGTCAGAAGGTACGCATATAATATATCGTTGAAAAGCTGAAAATTTAAATTTAAAACAACAATATCTAACATACAAAGTTGTAGCAGGTAATGGAGAGTGACGGAAAAATTATAAATAATAATATGAGGAGTTGGTCGGGGGATGCGGTTTGCAGATTTTCATCAGGACGTGGCATGTGGCACTGCAGGAAGCAGGAACCATCTCATTATAAATAATAATAATTCTGAAAACTAATATTATTTAACGAAAACCACGTGTTTCTAAGGGAATTAAATGCAATTTCCTAACAAAATGTAATAAATAATAATAAAAGGAATAGCGAACCCGAAGGCGAACACCACCTTATATATAATCTCATAATCTTACTCATTGTTTCTATAAATTACAACTTGTTATGGCCCAAGTACAATGGAAGTATCCAGGAGTAACTTCTAACACTCTAAGTTACATAATTAAATGTTTCACGTGAGTAAATACCTGGCTTATTACACACCTCCCTTCCCCAGTCGCCGTCCAAACCCAGTCTCTTCTGTTCGACCTTAACGCAATCTTCCCACCTTCGCTTCAGCCTATCCCTCGGACGTCTACCAGTTGCCACAGCAAATATTAACCTTTTAGGAATTATTCATTACTAAGTCCAACAATATTACAAGTTCATTTAATTCGGCGCGATGTAATCACCACAATTATATATATATATATATATATATTTTGTTTATCCTATGCTTTGATCGTCTTGAGCTCTTTCGGCCATGCTACGTCTAGCAGCCCAATAAATTTCACCTTCTGACCTGGCTTTGTTTCTGATGTCCTGTAGTCCGAGACAACTCAGTAGATGCAGGCTGTCATGAATCCTTGTCGACACAGTGACCATGTTGCTGAACGACAATACGGTATAGATGGCTTTAAGGACAGTCATGTCCGGTTTTCATCATAATCTGTGCAACGGCCTCATTTCTAGGGACATCCACTGGTACTCTTCCATTTTCTTCTAATGAAGCCCATTGCTTCTCCTTTAACTCCAACTGCCGGTTGGTTGCCTACAATTATATTAAGCGGATACAGTTCAAGCAATTCGGCGTTGTGTAACTGTCTAAACTCATCCTTATTCGGTCCATATATTCTACGCAATATGTGGGCGAGGCATTTCAGAAGATCAAAGAAAGAGTTTTATGTTTTCAAAATTTAAATACTCTGAAATAGCGAGAGAAAAAGTAATTTGTCGGAAATACATATCTGGTATTCTAAAAAAAAAAATTCAAATCGAAATTTTTTTATAGATAATAGTTTTCAAGTTCCGGAACAGGAGGCGCGAGCTAAGTAGTTTTGTTACAGAAAAATAACTAGCATTTGCTGCGAACTAAATGTAAACTTTTAAAATTATTTTTAAGTTTGAAAAAAATATATAAAATCCAACGAATCAATGCAATGACATGGATTAAAAAACTATTTCATAGTACACTCGACATAGAGCTGTAGGCACAGGCAGATCTACGGAGCGGGGAGAGGTCTTTTGGGCTGAAGTCCCACCCAAAATGGTACAATATATATAACTGTTATGTCGAATACATGAAATATACAAATCGGTTCGAATACTATCCTCGTCGCCAATTTGTTATGTCGAATACAGTAAATAAACAAATTGTAATTCAAAAATTCGAGTCTTCTTTTGTAATATTTCTATTTGATAACAAAAATTGATAAATTATCATGAATCAAACAATATAGGATAATCAGTATCATGTGTTAAAATCACGGATGATATTATTATCATATCGAGATAAATCGATAAATACAACAATGACCATGTCTCGTGAAAAAAACATCAAAAAATTATCTCTAAAAGTATTGTTATAGGGCTAATTAAAAGGCTTATTGTTCAAGTAATTACATTTAATAGAACTTCAAGAATCTCTTAAACACCATTTCGTAGATGTTATTAGTTTCTTTTCTTCCAAAGTAATTATCGTTTTACATACATATACATATTTCGGGCTGAAACGCCCTCTCCCAAAATTAAATCCTGGATTCAATTGTGGTTGTATGAATGAGAAGTAGGAGTATTGGGGAAACGAAAAGAAGTAACTTGAGAGTTAAATGGTAGTCTGTATCAGTGGCGGATCCAGGAATTTTCTCAGGGGATGGGGGGCGCACTTCTGTACCACGTGCTTCCCCCACCCCTACGCGTTCCGCCACCACTACCCATTTCCCCCACTCCTTAGCTGAGTTTAGGCGAACAAAAGTCCCCTTAAAAATGGTTTTAACAAAAGCAAACTCTATTTTTATTTAGAGTAAATTTTGACTAGTTTTCAGTGAAGCTATCATTAATTTTTTTGATTAAATATTTTTTTTATCACTTCCTATTCAACAAAAAAAAAAAACATGACACATAAAAAATCACAAAACTTTAATTCCCAACTTTAATTTAATTTTTTTTAAATCGAACCATTGTTTAAATAACCTTTTTCGTATTTATTGAGTTCTGCTATAACTCCTTTAAATATTTCCCTTTGCTTACGAGACACCCTGTATATGAATTTAGACATGTAAAAAACTAAATTGCTAACACAGGTCACTTTTTAGATCCGAAAATTCCTGATTTATCTGACAACACACTTTAATGAGAAATATACAACTTATTATCGTCACCAGTTATATGATTCGCATGAATTCTTCAAGGTGATTATAGTTGCTGGGTTGCAATGTGTTCAGATCTATTGAAACTGAGTAAAAATTGGTTCCGGAAGAAAACCTGTATTTTCTTGTACTCGAATAAAAGGTGGTTCGAAAGAATAAATGAAGTTTTTTTTTTTAAATAAATTTTCCTCCATCATGTATTTCACCTGCGAGGCTCAGTTCGGAGTCAATAGCAACAAACCGCGAAAGGAGCAAAAGTCTTCGCATCTCACGGCGGCCCAAAAACTACATCACTCTTTTCTTTAAATAGATGTTTTTCTGGAATCATTTTTCTAATATCGAGAGAGGGACGCGTCCCCTGGAAGAAATCACTAGTGCTGGTCACGATAATAATTTTTTTTATATATATAACATTTGAAAATCATGATTGGAGATGAATCCCCTCTACATTTCTCTTTTCTTTAAATAGGTGTTTTTTTGTTACTTTTTTCGGATTTTTTTTCCACCACCCAAGGGAGGATGCATCCCCTGGCAGAATTCGCTAGTGGTGGTCATGATAATATTTTTTTTAATATTATATTAGGAAATTCATCGTCTATGAGGATGCATTTTCCCTCCATTTCTCTGTTCTTTAAATAGCTGTTTTTTTGAAACTTAGTTTGGAATTTTTTTTCCAGCCTCTAGAAAGGGGAGGGCGCGCGCCCACGGCTGGATCCGCTAGTGGTCTGTATGAATTATGATTACGGACAGAAAGACCACTAATATTCTATTAGCATTATAATCTCTATTTTTTTTATTTATCCTCAACAGCTTTTCATATATACAGTAATATCGAGCACAGGCGGATTTACGGGGGGGGAGGGGCTTTCGGGCTGAAGCCCCCCCTTCTCCAAAACGGTAAAATATAACAATGTTTTTTAGAAAAAAAAAATTAAAAACTATCTATTAAAGTATTATTGTTCGTATAATTACATTTAATGGGACTTCAATAATCACTTAAACAGCATTCCATATAAGTAGTTCATTTCTTTCTTCTTTTTTTTCAAATTAATTATCGTTATATATATATATATATGAAAAAAAATCTTTCGGGCTGAAGCCCCTCCCCAAAATTAAATCCTGGATCCGCTAGTGATATCGAGTAAGTTTAAATTATTTAAATCTTAAATATTTTCAAGTTTTTTTAGGAAGATTTCCTGGTAGTCAGAATTTTCAGTCAATGTTTATAAAAATTGTATTTGTCCTAATTGACAATTTCTCGATTGAAGCAAGAAGTCATCATCAGAGCTAAAATTATATATATATATATATATATATATATTTATTTATTCATTTATATTAAACCATGTAAAATAAAGGATTTTTGGTTCTATTTAATATTCTGACTGTTGAATTGATAATCAATAATTGTTTTTAAAATATAGATTTTGTGCGAAAGAAAAATAAGTACCTTAGATATATTATTTATTTATATATATATGATTTGTAAAATACTATTTATTTTACTTTAAATATGTTTCAATTTGTTTTAAGTAACATTTGATAAGAACAGATGATACAAGCTTACTGGTAACACTGCGACGCTCACTGTTCTAGCGTGCGAAGTGTTATTACTGTCCTTTGAATTGTTACTCTAGTGTTATTGGCTCGTTGTTTTTAGTCACCCTATAATTCTGTTTAATCGTAGAAGGCAATGGCCGATATATCTATCGAACCACCCAATTCTCGTTTATTTATTCTTTGCTCTAAAAATCTGAATGAAACTGATCTTCAGCAAGCCTTCGATCATTATGGCAATGTGGAAGATATTTGGATTGTCAAAGACAAGAATACAAATGAATCTAAAGGTTTTTATTGCAAATATAATGCTTTACCATAGTGTAGTATTATTTGTGTCTTGGAATTATTGGTGTTATATTTTTTAGGAGTTGTTTATATTAAATATTCGAAGTCCTCAGAAGCAGCTTTGGCAATGGAAGAAATGAATGGAAAAGTAATAGCCAATGCTCCCAAGCCCATCAAAGTTATGATAGCTCACAGGTAAATCTCAATGTTTATGGTACAAACCTATTATGAATATTTTCATGCTATTTTAATTACAATTCAGTTGAACTAAACTCCATTTTTTTATTTTCCATATGTCACCTTTATTTTCCATGTAGAGTACTATTAAATTATAATCTTGGTTGTAATTATTGCTAAATCTGTTTTGAAGGTTTTAGTAAATGAATTATTGGAAAGTCGTTTGCATCTTTTTTTTCAAATATGGATTACTATGATATACCCACAGTTGTTGACAATTTTAGTATGTTACTCTTACAATCCAGTTTGCTTTTAGCTCATTAGTAACTAGTCAATTTTGAGTGATAATCGTCAGCAACAAAGTAATTGAAATATTGGCATCTAGGTTTTCATCTGTTAGAATACTATTTTTGCACTTTTCCATCTCAATAACATTTATAGATGTGTTTAGAGGATATTCTTTTATTATTGAATCAGTTAAGTTTCCAATTCTAATTTTGCTCTATAATGTAGTTTTCTCTCTGTTTATACTTATGTTTATGTTTATTTGAGAAATCAGATCAACTGATATTTTAACAAAGTGACTCATAATTATCTTGGAATTATAATATCCAAAGGGGTTAAAAGAATTTCAAATCAGTTTCTGGCTCTATCCAAATTTTTCTATTTGGGAAAACAATTCTTAATACCTAATGTACCTAAAATTGTTTTAACTACAGTCAGTAAATGCAGGTTGCAATTCTTACTCGTTGGTTTTGTTAGCAATAAAATAACATTTATTACTTTAATTCATAAGTTCTATGACATAATTTAATTGATTTTTTTCATATAAACAACACAATAACTGACATTGAATACGGAGAAGACAAAAGCTATCCTGATCGGATCTCCCTCACTCCTCAAATCCATTTTAACACCTCCTAATCTTCTTCTGAACAACTCACGTATCTCCTTCTATACCACTGTTAAAAACCTAGGCGTTACCTTCGATCAAAGCCTCTCCTGGAAACTACAAATCTCCCGCCATACTATATCCACCCTGAAACAGTTTAACCATCTACGTTATCTTCTTCCGTTCAAAACCTGTCAACTCCTGGTTTCCTCTCTTGTTTTCTCCCACTTCGACTATGGATGCATGGTGTATGGTGGACTCTCGGGAGAACTCGAAGCCAAACTTAAACGTTTAATGAATTGCTTAATCCGCTTTATCTTTGGGATCTCAAGGGATACACATATTACCCAGTTCTACACCAAGTTGAAGTGGCTCTATCCGTCCTACCGCCGTCAATATTTTCTGGCTACCTTCCTATACCGAGCCATTACAACACGGCGACCTGCCTATATTCTACAGATCCTACAATTCAAACGCTCCTCTCTATCCTCCCCCTCATCGAATTGCTGCATTTGATAGATCCTTTTTAATACAAGTTGTCTCCCTCTGGAACTCTATACCTTCAGATATTCGACACGCAAAATCGATATCCTCATTCAAATCTCTGCTCTTCGAAAACTTACTCCATTCCCAATCCGATTGACCACGAAATGCACTTAAAAACCTCAAATTGCACCCAGATACTCTGATTATTTTGTAATTCATTGATATTTCGTTCACTTAATTAATTTCTTTGTATATTTTATATTTACACGTATTTATATCTTTTCATCATTTATAACTTTATTGTACTCCGAATCAACCTGTAAATATTAAATAGTATTTCATGGACACACCAAAATATTGATATATAATTTGTATTTGTGATTTGTTCTAAAGGAACACTAGTCCTAGAATAATAAAATTATTTTCATTTCATTTCACAACAAAAACCAATGAAAATAAAGGTAACACGTAACAAGAAGTTTTTGGACACTTTCTTACAATGTTAATAATGAATTTGATGTTAAAATAAATAAATTAATATTTTGTGGGATTGCTCTTAGCTTTCATTACCTCTGAGCTTATTGGGAATAGAAGGAACCAGTCCTGAGGTCACAGAAGTCGATATCTAGGACCGTTTTTTCGATGATATGCTTCTTAAGTTCTTCCTTGTAGCTTACTGGACTCTTTGTGATTTGCTATTTTAAATTATCCTAATGCTCAATGGAGTTCATGTCATGAGATTGAGGATGTGGATTGACCAATTTTAAAGGCACAAAATTCGGGTCATTAGACTAGTGTGTTTGGCTGATAAAAATGGAACTTAATCTTCAGTTGATCAGCTGCGGGATCATTTAAAACACAAATCACGAAGAGTCCAATAAGCTTAAAGGAAGAACTTAAGAAGTGTATTCTTGAAGAATGGTTCTAAAAACAGACTTCTGTGACCACAGAGCTGGTTTCTTCTATGCCCAATAGGCTTTAAGAGCTAATTAAAGCTAAGAGCAATCCCCAGAATATTAATTTATTTATTCTAATATCAATATCAAATTCGATATTGACATTCATAGAACGTAACCGAAAACTCTTGTAACTTTTATTTTCATTGTTATTTGTTTTGTTCTGTTATTATTTTTCATGTGAAAAATTTAATTAAATTATGTCAAAGAACTTATAAATTAAAGTACCAAATGTTATTATTTATTTATTTTTTTTTAAGCAATCAGCAAGGACCACGCGAATATCATTTCTTGTTTTTCACACCTTCCACCTTTTTTCCTCTCCAATACTCTTTCATTCTTCTGGACTGTTCCTCTTGCTCTTCCATAGTCCATTTTCTCCCTCGTCTTACTACTTTTTTGTACTGACACCAATTATTTGTTTTAATGGTTACAAAACCTAAGAGTGTGAATGAAGGTTGGAACCTTCTATTTGTCTTGTTCGTGAGTGCCCAGATACTTTTGTTACTGGCTGTAGTTATGAATTTCCAGTGTTTTCATTGATTTGTAATTTATTTCTTATCAATTCTGTGAAAGTAAAAATGTTTATATCAAAGAATTATGAGAGACCACGGAAAGATGTTTGTGAAATTAACTATTACTTATAAGGATTTCATTGAAATTATCAACATAATTTCCATTGTAATTTACAGTAATAGTGAACGTTAATCTATTGTATAGTTTTCTTAAGTAATTTTGTTTTCCCAAAACTTCATTATGAAGACTGACAATCCAGTAACCTGTTAATACAATGGATTTTTATTGCAGGACATTTGTGCTTTCTTTAACCAATCTATTACATATTTTTGGATATTGTGACAAAAGATTTTTATTGCAGTTCGCTTTTTCTATTTCTTCTTCCATTTTCGCTGCCTTATTTCTAGGAGATTTTTTTTACAATTAGAGTAGAGAATTTGACTCTTTTCTACGTAAAGCACAACAGTGACGCCATATTTTTCCCTTTTCGCCTCTCTTTATAATAGCTCATTACAAATAGAATGAAATGCTGACCATTTCTGTATCTTACATTATGCAGATCCGATTTTCAGTTTCTGTGATATTTTAATCCATTTCTTCATTAAAATCCGTTACCTGTTGGTTTTCGACTCTATTTTTCTCTTTTCGCCTCTCTAACACGTTAAGATACAATTTTCATTAATAGCTCATTATAAATAGAATGAAATGTTGAACATTTTCCTTGCTTACAGTATGCAGTTCCAATTTCAAGTTTCTGAGATATTGTAATCCTTATGTTAAACTAAACTTGTTTCCTTTTTCTCTCTCTAACATGCTGTCACGTTATAATACAATTTTAAGTTCTAGCTTATTACAAAGAAGATAAAATTCTGGACATTTCTCTTGCTCATAGTAAGATGCAGGTCCAATTTTTAGTTTCTGAGATATTTTTAATCCAAATGCAAAAACACTTATAAAATTCACTGGTGTGCTTAAAATAGAAAAGAGCTGAGAGTGTTATTACAAAAGTTATTTTGTTTTAGTCGTGAGCAAGGATCAAAGAAAGATGATGATCCAGAAAGATTGCTGAGGCTTTTTATTGTTGTTCCTAAATCAATGACAGAAGAAGAGCTGAGAGAACATTTCAAACAATTTGGTGAAGTTGAATACGTTTCAATTGTTAAGAATAGAGATACTGGTGAGAGCAAAGGTGTAGGTTACGTGAAATACTACAGGTATTATTTTTATTTTATTTATTTTTTTTGTTTAATATATTAATACAATATTAGCCTATGTTGAACCCAATATACCACTGCCCATATCAAATGTCAGAGTAAGACTCCTAAGTTTATGCTTTTCCTGTAGCTAATATATGGTGCTAAACAGTTTTGTGATTCACCGACCTGCTCACATGTGAGTTGTTTATGTTAGTTAAGGTCAATATACAGCTGACCTAAAACTTGTTATTGTATAATGTTGTACAGATATTTAATAAAGCCTAAACTTCAAACAGTTCTTTATATTATCTTTATGGAATGTATACAAGATATATTGGACATTATAACCAAGTTGGAACATTATTTAACAGCTGTGTATATATGAAACCAGAATCTTCCCACAGATGGCTCAAGTTGTTAATATAGTTACTGTTAAATAGCATTATTGGCATCAGTTTATTTCTTCAACGGCTGTCAAGATTTTTGTATCACAACAATACAATTTCGATTTACTATCATTGTTTTAATAATATTAAAGTTTTTTGTTAAAATTTAATGAAAAGTGCTGCAGAAACCCATCAAATGCTTGTCAAAGGTTTACAGTGAACATGCTCTTGTTAAACCACCTGGCTTTGAGTAGTTTATAAAATTTAAAAGTGGCGATTGTGACGTGAGAAATGGAGAATTTGATGGACCACCAAAAATGTTTGAAAAAATTGAATTGTTAGCATTGTCGGATGAAAATGATATTCTACTGACTTGGCTCTGTCCAGCTACTGTTTATTTGCATCGATAAGACATGTACTTGCTGTGCAGCACTTCAGTTCTTATTAAAATGGCTTGTTGACTAGTAACTTTCACTTAGCACTCTATTTAAACAATTGAATTTCTGCTCAACTTAGTGCTAGTTTGTTCATCATTTAGCAGAGTGAAACCAATTCACATTACACATGTTTAGAGTAATCTCAAAGTCAAAGTTGCGTAGACAATGAAAACCTTGTACTCCCATCAGTCTATTCAAATCACGTAACAATAAGGATTTCATTGTCTACCATTGTTTTATTTTGTGTCATTAACATTTCATTTTAAATCTTATCTAAGCAGAAATGTTGCTTTCGTTTGATCAATAGATTGATCAAAAATTATTAACTTCTTTATTTTTTTACTATTTGATCTCTGCTCTTCTACCGCATAGCAGTATAAGGATTTCTTCTTGATCCAGAAATATTGGTTGGTAGGTAGGAGTTTTAGGATGATAAATTGCTGTTACGCCCGTAGAATTCCTAACTAATGATATTGCTGTTCTTTAACTTTTATAATGTTCTTTTACAAATTTATATGTTTTAATTTTCAAATTAACGTATTTTATTATTTAGGTAGATTTTTCTTTTGTTTTTTTTTTTCCTTTTTCTCTTCCATTTTTTTTTATTTATTTATTTTTTTAATCAATATATATTTTTATTGCATAATCTTTACTTTAAAATAATAAATGTAATTTTAAGAATTTGTTCTACTGATACATTTATTGCATTTATTTTAATTCAAATTTTTCCGTGAACCATTATTTCTTTTAAAAAAGTTCGATCACTACATCCAATAAAGATTTATTGTCTGCCAATAGTTAGGACAACTGCCTGGGGAATCTTCTTGAAGAGAAAGCAGCTGAGTATTGTGGAGTAGAGCACCGTTCGTATTTCACTACTTCTTTATTAATAAGTGTCCATGAATGACTATTCTCAAACTCCTAATCAACGCCTCTTCTCTTCTATTACTTATTAAGCAGCTTTTCCATAATCGTGTGGTGTTCTTGACTCCTCTTAGCTTATTTTGAGAGGAAGCATTCTCAGCGGTTTTCTCAATCATCTGAGACCCTGTTCCTTAACCAATTTTTGATGCCTTGGTCTTTGAATATTTTTATTTGTGGGGGATTCATTTGTGCTGCCTCTTTTGCTGCTTTTTCCACTACTTCGTTGCTCTTTATGGACTGGAAACCATATGAAAGTGACAGTTTTCCCCTATTCTTTCAATATGCCTAAATAATTTTTTATGGTATTAATTATGTTGTTGTTTGTGTATAGTTTTCCCAGAGACATCAACGATGATAAAGAATCTATACACATTCTAATATCTCGGCTATCTAATGGCCGAGTTAATGGCTTTATGTAATCTGCATGAAGTCATCTCTGTTCTAAACCAAACTCTTTCTCCTATTCTAACCCTTTTCTGTTAAAGGCCTTCTTGATTGGTCCTTCCCCATGTCATTCTTGGTCTCTGACCTTCCACCTTTATTTTCAATGCAACCTTTGCCTAGGAATGCTTAGGAATATGGTTTACCATCTCAGCTGATGTTCTTCGATATATAATTACATCAATTATATAACAGCAACAAAAAAAAATTGTTAATACTTTTATTTTAAGAATTTATACTTTTAATCATATCATTGATTTTAGCTTTTCCAGGCTGGAACATTAGAAATTTTTTTTTTTTTTTTAGGATGAGATATAAATGGGAAAAAAATTTAATAATATTATTTTTATTCTGACTTAATACTTGTTTTCATAACGTTTTTTAAATATATTTTCTTGACAGGGCTTATCATGCTGCCAAAGCCTTCGAAGAGTGTTCCAAAAGCTTCAAAGCTGTATTTGCCCGTCCTAGAGAGCCAAAAGTGCCTTCAGGAGGACAATATGATCCTCCAATGGAAAGGTTTACTTATTTTTATTTACTACACTATTATTACAGTAATGTATTGATTGTTAATAATTTGTAATTTGCATGAATAAAAAACACTTTTTTTCTAAATATATTCTTATAACTATTAAGGAACCATAATTTTGTTGCCAAAAAAAGCCAGTTTTTAATTTTTTTTTTATAATTTGATTTAAAAAAAGGTTGTTTTAGCTTTGTAAAATACTATTTTTTGTTTCAAAGAGGCTATTTTGATATATATATTTATATGCCAAAGGTATGTTTAATTTTTGTTAGATATCTAATAAATTTAGACATGAAAATCAATAATTTTTTATTATTCTTTTAGTCTTATTTATTATAGTATTTGGAATGGAAAATATTGTACTATAGTATAGTATTTGGAATGGAAAATGTACTAGTTTTTTTATAGAAAATTTAGTCAAGAGCTAGTTTTGTTTATTCTACATTGTGACAAAAAAAGAAAAAAATATATACCCACGATTAACAGTAAACTAACCTATTAAGTAATTGTCTTTGTTGTTTATTGATTAATGATATTTTACATGTAGGGAGAACAATTGTATATATTTTTATATCAAAGACGGGCATCTGCCATTTCTAAAAAAAGCGGCCTAAAGTCGCTAAAAAGTTGTACCAAATGATAATGACAGTCAATACAAAATTAAAAATAATTTGTTTCTCAACTGAATAATAATTTAGTAAGAATATAATCATAAAAAAATCCTTGTTATTTTAGAAAGTGATATCAATTAAATGTGTCTGTCAATTGATTTTTTATTTCTATAACTAAAATAAATTATTTCATTATCTATAGGATGGGTGGTGGCGGTGGTTGGATTGGATACGGTGATAACGTGATGCCCATGGGCGGTAGAGGAGGAAGTGGAGGACATGGAGATGCAAGATTAATAGCTGCTGTTCATTCCTCTTTACGTCAAGAACAAGTTTATAAGTTATTTGATATTGCCCCTGGTCTTGTTGACATCAGACCTCAAGCCAATGCTCAAAGAAATGTAAGTAAAAGTATTACATTTTTGTATATTATATGTTTTTATGTGCTAACTATCCAAAATATTGTTAATTAAATATTGTTCAAAGGTTATGGTAGCTATCTTGTTAACATTCAGTAAAATATACTTTTTCATAATCTATTTGAGATCTTTGACAAGCAAGTTAACTTTAATCTATGTTACTGCCAAGCCTTTGTTAACAACATTGTCTAGCAATCTTTGCACCTTCTTTATACATTATGGATTGATTAAGTGGTCAGTGCTATAAAAAAATTGTTGAATCTGACTCAAACATTTCATTTACCCAGAATGAATAGTCAAGCAAATGTCATCTCATTTGTTCTACTTTCTATCTCTCATTTCTTTTAAGCCAGTAAATATACAGCTGTTTGAGATGGTATATTAGTATTATGGTATATGGTATAGATACATGGAACATACGGAGTTTTGAACACAGTAGGTGGGTTTAAATGGGTGCGGGCGAGGTTATAAGTGGTACAATTTAGATGTTATGGCACTGCAAAGTTTGTTGGCCAGAGGAGGGGCTCGAAAAGGATGGGGAAGTACACAATTGCAGAGAAAATGGAAATCATTGTTTAGGACCTGGTTTCTGATAGGAATAGATTGCTGTCCGCTTCGAGAGATATGCAATTCTTTGGTGATAGGATTTCGGTGGCCTTATTTCAGCTGGTATCGGCTGCTGGTTCAAAATTGTGGTAATAAACATGCATAGTTAATTAAGGCATGCAGAAAAGCTGTCATAGGGGCAGACTTTCCATTCTGGTTGGAGAGGCAATGGACCCCTCTTCCCTCCTCTCCCAAAAAAAGTCTCAGGAGTTTATATTATGTATAAAAATTATGAGTGGTAATTAACATAATCAACAAAATGATTGCAAAACCTACAATACAATACTATGTATATATATATATATATATATATATATATATATATATAAACTTATTTATATGTTGACATAGTTATTTGTTTGTTTTTTTTGCATATGGGTATATTTGAAATTAAGTTAACATAGCAATTCAATATATTACGTATTTTTTATTTTTATTTAAAGGTTTGAGGTAGTAATGTGACCTCTCAATTCTATGCTTCAAACTTGCCTCGGTAAATGTGATAAAATCTTCACGTAAGAATGAAAGAGTGCACATGAATGAATCATATAGTCGTAGGATATGTTGCTAAATACAATTAGTTGTCTTAGATTATAAACTTAAGTTTCAATAATAGATATGGTGTGTGGTAAAATACTTGCGGTACTGTACTTTTAGGCCTTAGCTTAACCATCCAATCGACTTTTCATATTTTTAAATTGATTTTGGTGTATATATTTTATTCATTCATGTTGATTAATTAAATTTTTTTTTTCAATTTTTGTTCTTCAAAATATTGGGGAGAGGGGCTCAACACGATATTATTTGAAAGAATCTATTACGGAATCTCACTCCTGGTATTTTTTTAAATATTCACAGTAATCCTTACTACTCAAATCATGGAATATAACTGAGGTGAATAAAATGGGTGTGTAAAATTATGGGTTTTAGTAATAGTAAAAGAATCCATAATATGTTAATATATGCGCTGCTCCAATTGGTAAATTTCTAAGGGGTAGACAGAAACGAAGGTGGGAAATTAGCGATAAAGCTGATCTCATGGGATGTGGTTTGGAGAGTGTTTTGTAGACAGCAATCAGTGGTATTGACAATCAACCTACGGGTTCGCTAAGCCTTTTTATATATTTATCAATATTAATTTATGAATCTTAATGTTTTTATTTTTTTTTTTTTTGTAGTATTATAATCAGATTCAAAAAGTTCTTGTTGAATACAACTGTCCTCAAGCTGCTAGTTATGCTGCAGAAAAGTTACATGGATTTGAATACCCACCTGGTCATCGTATCAGTATCCGGTCTGCTTCAGGAGACCTTCCACCTCCGTGAGTATATTTCAGTATTTTTTGTTTCATGATAACATTTTTATTTTTTTACATTAATTTGCGAACTTATTCTAAAGAAGTGGTGTTTTAAACTTACCATCTCTTAGGATTAGGATTATAGATAGATAGAAAGTAAACTTTATTCTGGGACAAGGTCCCTTATGAATAACAGATATGAACAAAAAAAATAAAAACTACATTAATCAATATTAAAGAATATATACAGTATCTTCAGTGAAATTAAATTAAAAAAAGTAAAAATAAAATAAAATTTTGAGAAAAAACGAAATAAAAAAAAAACATTATTTAAATGAAAAAGAAAACAAAATAAAATTAGATTACGTGTGTTTCTAGTGGTAATATTTTTAAATTTACTAACAAACTACACTTTCAGTGTAACAGATTGATTACTAGCATTTGTATGTTTTCATTAAGATATTAGTAGGAAATGGATGTGATTAATTAAGTGCTTTATAAAAGTTTGATCTTACAATTGATAAATATTAACGAAAATTAAATTTTCTGTATCAGTTAGTTACTTAATCTTAACTTAGTTAGATTTTCATTTGTATCTTTGATTTCAGATCCCGAGGTGCTCTGTTGCCTAATACTCCTACCTCCAGAATGGATATGAATGGAAGTGGCATGACAACTATTTCAACAAGTGAACTTGCGACGCTTAATGCTGCCTTAGCTAAAGCTGAAGCCATAATAAAAAACAGAGGTTTGGCACCAAGTAGGTTATTGCTAATTTATAATTTTCAGTTAAAAAATTAAATGTAAATTAGCTGTTAGCAGCTGCATCGCTCGCAGATATTTCATTTCTGCTTTTTCGTTTTAATTTGTCCTTGTTTACCTTTCATCCTATTTTATCTTTATTTTGGTTTATTTAAAAAAAATATTCATAATGTAAAAGAGTTACATGGAAACAGAATAAGAGATTCATGTGTACAAATTTTACTTGACATTGATATTATTTAACCTTACTTTTCTATCTTCTGAAACATATTATTTGTTTTAGGTGGTTTAAAGTCAGCTGATGATGAAACATTTGATCCTACATATTGTTCGGTGAGACTTCCTCCCCCACAACAATTAGTTCCTCCACCAGATGGTCCCACTCACAGGTCAGTATTAATCCATAGATTTTTTTATAGAGAAACTTTTAATTTTTACCACTTATTTATAATGTCAGGGTTAAATTTGTAGATTATTTTTTTTATTTGTGCTCGTAAATTTGTTTATTTATTGCGTTAATCATTACATTTATTAATTTTTTAATTAATAAAATAAGAAAAACAGAAAAATTGTGCAATATTTTTGCATTCAATATAATTAGGGATCCTTTACAATGCTTTTTATTTAAAATTAATGATATGCCAAATATTTATTCTCTTGGTAAATACTACCTTAGTCCACTGATGCTTATATAAAAGTTAAATTGAATTAGTTTTGTATATAATATATCAGTTGTTGCAGCAGATTGCTAACCACATAAGGTCATAGCTCAGTTATATGTGTATGATTGATAATACCCATCAAAATCTACAATTTTTTTAAATTTAATATTTGATTTAATTATTATTGTATTACTGTTGTATAAGTATAGTGGGATATTGGCTTCCCCTAAAGTACCTTTATTTTTTTTAATTTGAAATAATTAACCATTTCACATTAATCTTTGATACAAAAAATAGTTGAATATAAAATATGAAAGAATTTGATAATTAACTAAAGGAGAAATGAGAGATCGTAACGGATAATAGTTATAATAGAAGAATCAAAGGAATACGAGCTCGTCCGAAAGGTTATAACAGGCTTCCGTACGTAACATGAGCTTCATATAATAGGACTCCGACAATATTATGTTCATATACATATGCGGTTTTCATAAATGCTATCGTTGGTATTATTTAATATTTAATTGTATAGAATACAGCAACATAAAAATTAAAATTTGTATATATAAGGGTATTTAAACAAATAAAAATACCCACAACGAATTGTGAATAAATATAGCATCAATAAATTTTACTTATTAGAGGATAGGGTGGTAGGTGAAAGTTGTGTGATGCGCTCACCAGATTTTTAATATTTTTGTCCCCACACATATTGGTCAGGGGAAACTATCATTAAATAGGGAAATGTCATGGAATTTTACTTTAACAGCCTGGTAGCCACCCTGGTGCAGGTTGTACAACTGAGGTGGGAGTCAAATCCAACCATCTTCAGATATTAATCTTGTCAAATATTTAAAAATTTTCAGACTATTCTTGCTGTGGTAAAAAAAACTTGATGTTGAGCCTCTTAGTACATCAAGAGACAATTCCAAATCATTCATGCTTAGCACCATTTTATCATCATTATGAGTATACAGTATCGAGTTTTGATTCACTGAATATAAGTATATAGGTGAAGATTTTTAGTGTTATTGGCATTGAAACTTTAGAAATTTAGTTTGAACCCGCGTAGTTGGTAAACCAACAGGGAACTCATCCTAATTTTTAACACAAAGTTGAAACTTACATTTTCTTTCTTCCACAATCCTCTGATACTACTAACAGAATATTTACATATGTATAGATACATCAGAAGGTTACAATATCATATTTCAAGATGAGTATGTATCTAGTTCTGCCATAAATACTGTTACAGAAGTTGAACCTCCCCTCCCCAACCCAAAAATATTGCCATTCTATCTTTTTTTGAAAAAAATCGAGGGGGTTCTTAACCCTCTCCCCTGTCCGAAAAAATTAATATATAGTTTATTCGATTGTTGATTCAGAGCATAACATAATAAACCTCCAGCAACTCCCTTAATTTCTAATTCAATTTGTTGCTACGTTCACCATCGTAACGTTTTATCTTGGATATTGGAATCTAAGAATCATACAAAAGTACTATCATTAAAGTATAAGATAATAAACATTGCATTTACATACAAGTAGCAGGTGCATCGATAAAAGATATAAAAGAAAAAAAAATATATATATACCTAGCGAGGTTTATACCTAAAAATAGGTATATACCTAGTTCTGCCATAAATACTGTTAAAAAAGTTGAACTTTGTTAACATGTCAGGATAATAATCCCAATTATTTTGTATTTTTCTTTCGCTCTGTTAACATGGAGTGGGATGATAAAGAAAACCGAATAGTTGTGATCGCCTTACACAAAATTGCAAAATGTAGGTCAGAGATTTTCAACCTTTAAGTATCAGCCGTTATGTGACAAGACCTCGACCAGGCCGCACTGTGAGAACAGCAAATACAGTGAGAGCAGTGGCTGCTCGATTCAGAAATAATCCCATTCGAAAAGTACAAATCATGTCTCGGGAAATGGGAATTTTTGTCAGATCAATGTTGAAGAATTACAGGACAAATGCTAACCATTTCTCTAAAAAAAATTAGAGTGGATAGATGCAAAGTGCTCTTTCACCATTACACCAATGGTCTTCATCGAATGATTTTGTTTAGTGATGAGAAAATTTTTACAATTCAAGAAAAATTTAATCGCCAAAATTATCGTGTGTATGCACACAGCTCTAAAGAAACCCAGAAAGTCATTGGAAGAGTGGAAAGAGGTCATCACCCTTCCTCAGTGATGGTTTGGTGGGGAGTTTATTTTGATGCCACTACAAAGCTCCATTTTTGTGAAAAATAAGTTAAAACTATCAGGACGATATTTTAGAACATGTTGTCATGCCTCTAAATGATACTGCTGGAAGTCATTGGGTTTTCCAGCAGGGTTCCGCTCCAGCTCACAAGACCAGGTCAACTCAGAGTGGCTGCAAAAGAACATTCCAGAGTTCATCTTTGCCTCGGATTGGCCCTCATGAAGCCCTGATGGCATGCCACAGAGCTCACCCTAACTTGGAAAGCCTCAAACAATCTCTGGTCCGAGCAGTTGATTGCTTTCGTCAAGAAGTGCTGCGTGCTGCTATTGATGACTGGCCACGGAGATTAAATGCCTCTGTCAAGGCAAAAGAGAGACATTTCGAGTAATTTCTTTTTTAGTTTTACTCTACAGATATACATTTTATTTTCTAATAAAGTTTTGGAAAAAATTAATTTTTCTCTTGAAATCTGTATGTATTTTCTTGTAACAATATTTCTGACAGAACTAAGTACTTGTAACTAATTTTGGATGTTTAGAGAAAAAAACAAAATGTCAGTTTCTATTTATTGCCCCAAGAGTTCACCTATTAGGCTTCCATTTAATCGTGATTAAATAACTTTTATTATTTATAAAAGCATAGATATGGATCCCTGTTTCATTGAATACAAAGATGTTATACAAGTCTCTCTCTCTCTTTCTCACTCAATGGTTGTATGTTTTAAAGGCATGTTAATCTTATTAATCAAATAAATGTTTAGTTAATTACTTCTACTGTTACAAAGAAAAATGTTTTTTTATTTTAAGGTTATTTATTGTCTGTCAACCTGGTCTGCCATCAATGTATGCTCTTCGTGATATTTTTGGGAGATTTGGCAATCTTGTAGAAGTTTATACTTTACATGGAAAGAATTGTGGTTATGTTACTTATGCTACACAAGAATCTGCTGAGGAAGCTATAAAAGTAAGTCCCTATGTATGACATATCTCTATTATTAATTTATTGACACATATAACTTCAGGTGATTAATTTTATTTAAGACTGGAAACAGTCAGAAAATCCTACTAACGAACTGTTGCTGATAATTTTTTTATGATATTAAAATAGTATTTCAACAACCATAAATGAAAAAATGTACCTAACTGATATAATTTATTCTTAAATCTATACCTGTCAAGCTCATAGCTGATGTTAATGATGCAGATGGGTATCAGTAACCAATTCTAAGAAAATGGTAAGTTAGGCCTAAAGGAGGCACCTCTAATAAAAATCTAATGGCCTTCAATAGAATTTTAAAGTAAAAGATGAAAAAAAAAGTTGGGACCCTCAAAATGCACTTCTCTAATCCCAACTCAATTCACATTAAAATTTGAATTATGTTTAACAAGTATCAATAATCAGTTACCTAATGTAAAGAATTTTAATTTTATATCATTAAATTTAATAATATAATGGTTTTATGTACGGAAAGTTATAAAAACAGCAAGTGTTCAAAAATCTAGATAGCCCTAAATTATGTGGCTCAACTATATCAAGAGTTTTTATATGGTAGTTATTAATGACAGCTAGATCATTCTTTAAAAAGTTAGTTCATTGGATTCAGTAATTTGTAAAGAAGTATTATTTCTTGGTCAATAGTTATGCAAGTTAAATAATTTGACCGAGATCATTTCCAAACGCCAAGTTTTTCCTCATAATTAATTAAGAGTACCCACTTTATAAAGGCTGATTATGCCCCAGGAGGATCTCCCAACTCAAGGGTCAATCCACCACTGATGTGTCAGAATAAATAATTATCTCTAATCGCAATCAAACCAAGGGATGTAGCACTGTGCCTTACTCACTAAGCCACACCATTCTCTAACAGTTATAAATATAGGTTTATTGTTATTATATATCAAGCAAAGATCATTGTGATATGATGAAAATTGTCAAAGTTATGAATTTTGTATTTAAGCTATGCCACTATCAGTTGGCTATGCAAAAATTTCTTTGTTCATACATTTTTGAAAATTAATATCTGGAAAAGTATTTTAGGGTTTTAAATTAAAATTTTACAGGGTTAGTAAGGATGACAATAGTAAAAGATAATCATGAAAATTTGATACCATAGTTTCACTTTACTTTTTGGCTGAATGATTTCAAATTATGGTTGTTTATATATGAAATGTTAATGTTTATTTTTATATATCATCTAGTCACATACTTCCATAATTATTGATCAAGAAACAGTATTTCTAAAGTACTGAAAACAAGAATCTTCATTGTTATGGTACAAGTTTTATATATTCACTAGTTCTGTCTATAAAGAAGATATAAATTAAAACTTCACTCCCTCCTATATATATATATATATTTAGTTTTCAATGTAGGAAGTTGTTAGTTTTAAGGAACTAGAAAAGTTTTTATTTTATATTAAAAAAAAATTAAGATTATTTTTGTTTAGCTATCATGAATTATATTATATATGAATAACTTCTTTTTAGAAACTACATTTACAAGAGGTATGTGGAATGCGAATGAAAGTAATGGTTGCTGAGCCTCCAAGAGGTGGTCCTGACCGATCAGATAGAAAGAGACTGCGCATGGACCACGATTCAGCTGAGGCTTAACATATAGGTAAACAAATTAATTGCTGATTTATTTATTTTTTAATTTAAATAACATTAGTTTAATGATGATCACTGATCAATCCTAACAATATAACTGTCCTTAACAATTTTCATATTTTTAACTCTTAGCATTCTATCTATTGTTTTGTTCATTCGTTAGCAAGCTTTTAAAATAGAGCAAATTTATACCAACGTTTTACATATTTAATCAAGAATCATTGAGCATTTCAAAGATCATTTCCATCAGGGTATATAGGATGCCCCTCGACTAAAGGTTCATATGTTTAGAATTTGTATCTGATACCATTTAAAGAGAAAAAAATCTAATTAACACATGTTCGCAAATGCTTTCTTATATAAATACACGCATTAAAGGTTTTTTTGTTGTTGTTTTTTTTTATAAAGATTCATTTAGAAGAGAAGGAAATTAAATTTTATTTAAAATTTTTTTAAAAAGTTCAGTACTTAGTCTTTCCCTGCATTAGAGGGATCTAAGAGCTTGTTCCACCATTTAAGGAAAACTTCCGATTTGGTTAGCTGCATCCATAACTTTGTTAATATTTTCATCCCTATTGTGGAATTGTTCCATCCAAACTGTTGACTCAATATGTCTCAAAAAAAAAAAATAGTCCAAATTTTATATGAAACACACCTTCAGTCATAAGACACCCTGTATAACGTTGCTTGCTCTGAGCTAGTTTGAACATGTTATTTTCTAATACTGAACTGGAATGGGGAGTATGTTGGTTTTAATTAGTTTTTGGTGATGATAAACTTATTGGTTATGATACACCTCTCACCTTCCAAAGTGGTCCTCAAGCGGCGGTTCTCTATGATTTGAAGTAAGTAATTTCCAATATGTTCTGTTAATCATTTATCATTTTGTGGGGTTTTAAGTATATTTTAATGTTTTCATCCTTATGTTTTCACAATTTTTAATCAAATTTCTGTGAAATATAAGAGTTCCCTGTGCGAAACTTTTATAGTTGAATTTTGATATATTTATTTTGCAACAATGCAAGAATAATTTTGTATGTCTGATAATATAAATGAATAAATAGCAGAGGCTGAAATAGATAATAAGAAAATACTTCTAAGAATTGAAGGAGCAAGATATGTAATTAGCAATGCTATCTGATAAACCATAGGAATGTGATTCTTAAAAATAAATAAATTTATACATATACATATATACACACATTTATATATATATATATATATATATGTCTTTCTACGGAACCATTTAAATTAGTTAAATAAGTAGGCAAGAGGACTTATTAAATAGATGGATGAAATTATGTCCGAGCTGCAACATATTTTAATTTCATTAGTAGTCCATCTTAAATGCTCAGCTCTGCCTGAAATGAAACTTAATTCTTTCTGAATTTTGGCTTGAGTTATTTTAAAAGATTAATTTTTAACCAGCCAGATAAATAAGGTTGTGATTTTTCCTCATGCTCTGTTATCTGAGACTAATGTCTTATCCGAATCAGTGCACCAAGCCTAGCACCGACCCTCAACCCTCCTGCATTCAGGCCTCAGAACGGTCATATTTATAGAAATCTTTTGAATTATCTCATTTTCACAACAACCAATCAACAGTGAATTTATTGTTTATTTGTATTAATATTTATTTATTTTTTATTATAAAATGTATATTATTAATATTATATGAGAAGGAATGTTCCCCCACAGATTTTAAATGCGCAGGTTCAAGTGATGAATTAAACATCTTAATTGCTGATAATGGGCAGCAGCAATACACAAGCTTCTTTTACCTTATTAAATTACTAACAAAAACATATATATTCATACATTTAGGTTAAAAAATCAAGCATTAGCAAAAATGAGTAATCATTTTTGTGAAAAATATATCAATTATATAATAGTTAAAAAAAAAAATATGTAAAACAAAACCTAATATCGTCAAGAACATAGCAAATTTAGCTTTAATTAGGAAAAAAATTTTATAAATCATTTAACATTTACTGTATAATACCTACTTAACACTTAATTTTAAAATAATTCAATGCAAAAAATAAATCTACCTCACAGAAGTTGTAAATGTACATTTATTATTTCATAGATTTTATTTGTCTTTTTTTATCATAGTTCTCACAAAACAAAACATTACTCTCTCCTCGAAAAGTTTCATTAAAAAATTCACAAATGTATTTCGACATTACGGCAATGCAATCAATAAATCTCATAGTGATTTCATTTTTGTTATTTCACAGATTTAATAAAAAAAATTTACTACGACAGGTGCCTACTAACAGCGGTTTCAATTCTGTATAACAAAAACAAAATTAACATGGATAAATCTAATTGGATATTATTTCTGGCTCAGGTGAGGCCATTAATACCCTAAAATTCACCGAATTTCTTATTTACAAATTAAAATACTTTCTGCATAAAGAACTTATCTTTTATGTATTCTTATTTATTTATTTTTTAGTTTATTAAGTTCATTTATTGACTCAATATGGATTATAATATTCTCCAAATTTGTAATATCCAAATATGTAAAATAAAGGATGCTTTATATCCATTTAAATTATATAAAATGCAAAATAAACTGTTGATGTTAGGATCAGAGCGCTAACATTGCTAGAAATGGGTTATGAATCAAAGGAATAAGGTTGGTGCCATGGGCTGTGCGAGATGCAAAGCTTTTGGCGGTGCAAGAGTCACTTAATGTCTGGTACTATTTTCTCATAGATTTCTGGATTATCTTTAAAAGATAAACATTAATGAAATGTGGAAAATCATTGTGTTACCATTTGATCTTCTGGTAACTAAATAAATTTATTTTTAAACCATTAGGATGGCTTGAAATATTAGCAATATCTCAATAGTAAAATTCCTTAAATTTACTTCAATATGTCTTCAACTCCTAATTTTTTTTATTTTTTTTATTTATTGCTGTTTGAGATCATGTATCCTACCCCTAACTAGGTTTGTTAGATTTTATAGATCTCATCTTTATGAAATGCTAGTAGATAGGATTTCTATATGTAGGCATACAGCTGGGTTCATGTTTCAACCACATTGTAGTGAAGTTGGTATATTGTATGTACCTTCAATTTTTAATTCAATGTTTTATTAATTAAATTAATCTTACAATAATCTGAGAACAGAAGAAAAGTTTCCTGTTGATTAATACAATTTATTTGAAATTGCATGTATTAGCACGTTCATCTCATTTAATTGATAAACATATTGTTTCATAACTTATATTAAAAGGGGGAAAACAAATATTTCATTTGTTATTTTGCTTATGATTTACTATTGTGCATGTCTATTTTCTTTTTTAATTCCCTCAGCTGCTTTGTCCCATATTGCTCTCTATTTTTTTATGTTTTTGAAATAATTGTTTGCACTATCTTTGCCTGTTTTTCCTTTTAAATCTTGTGTTTAAAAATTGATCTAATATCTACTATTTTTATCAATACATCTTGATTATATTTTATTAGAATTAGATTAGATTAGAACATCTAGTTAGGATGTGACAGAAACATTATTCAATTAAGTTAGAATTAGTAATAATTATTCGAAAAAGGTTAAGGTTTCATTCAGGTTTGAAACTAGGTGATTCCATTCCCTTTTACCTTTCCTAATTAATTTAACGCTGGAACATGCTATCAGAGATGTGTTGTGTACTGAATATGTATGAAATAATGTTTGTGTTTGTGTATTCCAATGTTCTAATTCTGGTAGGCAAAGATATCAAAACTATAAAGCTAAATTAAAAAACTAGGGCTCAAAATAAATACGAATAAAACAAAATATATGGTTTGCTGTAGAAACAATGATGATTTCAGTAATATAAATTTAGAATGGCTTGAATAGCTATGGGGTCATTAAAATTCTTTGATTTGTGATGTATGAATGCAATAAAAGATGAAATGAATATTCACTGTGCCTGAGGTGTGTTGCCTAGTGAAAGTGGAAGGATTGTTTTAAGGTTGATTGTGCCGGTTTGTGTTTGGACGGCTATTGGTAGTTAAAAAATATGTAGACAGTGATTGGTGGTATCGGTTTTAAACTTTACGGTTTGCTGTGTCTGTTATTATTATTATTATTATTTATAATAAGATGATTTTATTCATATCATTAATGATCTGAAGAACTATTAGGATAATGTTAAAATATAGGATAAATTCTCAGTTTACTTGATGATGAAACATCAGAAGCCATCTGAGATATAACAACTCAGTCCTATGTCATGTGTATATGTACACCTATTCTAGGTAAGGAAAGTATTGCAATCGGGTCAAATTTCCGACATACGGTTTTCGACGGATTCTATACGTTTCAGAGCCTCCTGAGTCCGAAAAACACATTTTTAGCCATTGGTCTGTCTGTGCCAAGATTTTCTCGGGAACTACTGAACCGTTTTGTTGCTTCTGTTTTTATTTTGTAGGGTTTTGACTACTGATGGCTGTGACAGAAATTCGGTGCTCCGTGCACAATAGCTTGCACGCAATAATTAAAAAACATGTTTTTCTATAGACTGTAGCGCAAAAACAGCTCTAACGATTTTGATGAAACTTTCCTATAATGTTCTAATCATTGTTCTTTCAATTTTTGTATATAAACTAAATTTCCCAAAAAATTCAGGAAAAAATGTGGTACTTTTAGTCCAAGGGGCCGCTGCTGACTGCTATCTGGCAATGTTTATAACCTGAACACTGATAGCTCCCATAACGCAGTGATAAGCCTTCTCCTACTTCACATCTTCGTATTATTGTATTAAATTCTTATTATTGAAAGTGTAAACAGATACAAAAACAAATGTAATAACAACAAAAATACTTTTATTTGACGGCAAATATATTAATTAAATAATAAAAAACACTTTAAGAAGATATGTACATATAAAACATCAAACATCATAACAAATTATAATCATAACATCGGCATCATAACAAATTTAAAAGATACAAAAACAAATGTAATAACAACAAAAATACTTTTATTTGACGGCAAATATATTAATTAAATAATAAAAAAACACTTTAAGAAGATATGTACATATAAAACATCAAACATCATAACAAATTATAATCATAACATCGGCATCATAACAAATTTAAAAGATACAAAAACAAATGTAATAACAACAAAAATACTTTTATTTGACGGCAAATATATTAATTAAATAATAAAAAAACACTTTAAGAAGATATGTACATATAAAACATCAAACATCATAACAAATTATAATCATAACATCGGCATCATAACAAATTTAAAAGATACAAAAACAAATGTAATAACAACAAAAATACTTTTATTTGACGGCAAATATATTAATTAAATAATAAAAAAACACTTTAAGAAGATATGTACATATAAAACATCAAACATCATAACAAATTATAATCATAACATCGGCATCATAACAAATTTAAAAGAACATATTTACATAGAAAAGAAAAAATATAAACACTATAAACAACGTATATACAAATTATTTTAAGTTAATTATTCACTTCCTTTTGTCTTATTTATTTTGGAAGGCAAAATTGTTTTATGCTACTTAAAATAGCGAGGAACGGGTCCTCTTCTCTGTGAATCCGCCGCCACAAAAATTCGCACAAATATGAATCGAGGTGTTGTCTGGCAGTTCCTCTATGTACTTTATTTCTCCACTTAGCTGAGCCCCACAATCGTTCTATGTGTTGAGTATGAACCCCAGTTGATGGATCGACAAAATTATAGCGGTGATTCACTTGGAAATGGCCATAGTTTGCTTCGTTCAGTTGTCGGGTGTTGTATCCTTTCCAACAGTCCGAATAAATGGTCGTTCCCTCTTCTATATTTTCTTTAATGGCTTGCAATAATGTTGTTGCCTTTCTATCAATTATTTTGACGATAAAACATTCATCTGTTTCACGGCAAACTCCACCAAACATCCACTGCTGAGGTAAAACTCTCCCCACATGATTTTTTCGTTTAGAAAAAAGACTTTCGTCTACTTCAACCACTTTGCCAGGTCCTCCAATTTTTTTTCTTGGCCTGTATAACATGTCATGGGCACAAACCTCTCTTAGACATTTGTTCCACGTTACCATAGCTGCGTAGGATAGTTTCAGCTGCTCTTTGCCCCACTTCATCGTTGTCAAGCTATGGGACCACCCATAAATCAATTTTAAAGCTGTTAAAAACGAAATCCTCGAACCCTCCAACCATGTTCCTTTTCTTATTGAAAGTTTTGTGTCACAAGTCTTACGAAAGCATCTCCATTTGGCCTTCTTGGTTAACTTCATTCGATGACCTCGTTCACACAATTTCACGTCGGCAAGTACCCCAACATTTTGAAAATACTGAATTGCCTGTTCTTCTGAAGACGGTAAATCCCATATTCTAAGATGATCCATAATATGACGAAAATAAACGAAAAAAAAATGAAAAATAAACACCAAGGGGTCACAAACTAAAAAAAAATGTAAAATAAACACAAACGGGCCAAAAACTAAAAATAAACACAAACGGGCCAAAAACTAAAAATAAACACAAACGGGCCAAAAACTAAAAATAAACACAAACGGGCCAAAAGTAAACAATTTAATAAGTGAACGTAATAAGGGAATAACTGAAAACCAAACAATGCAATAACTCAAAAGTATGGCGGGATAAGAAGAGGGAGGTTATGTAACATGATGACATGACGTTAGATAAGATAGATAAGAAGTGAGGTTTCAATACGGCCCCTTAGACTAAAAGTACCAAAAATGTTATAGGGCCTAACTCCCTAAGTACATATTATATGGTAAAATTTATAATAAAACTTTTGAAAGGTAATTAAATTACCAACAAAACAAAAAAAAAAAAAATCATCGGAATCGAACCAGTATTAGAGATGATACAGCTTATTCTATTTTTTACGCATTTTTTTAACTTATTACTTTCCTACCTATACTAGGTAAGGAAAGTATTGCTGGATCTATACGTTTCACAACACCCTGAGTCCAATAAACACATTTTTAGCGATTGGCCTGTCTGTCTGTACGCCGTTTAGCCTGTCGTTTATAAGGTAATGAAATTCCCTACAAAGCCATATATAAATCGTTCATTTTGGACAAGTATTAATGAAGTTACAGCTATTCAATTTTCAATGTAAGATGATGGTTTCATATCCTGGTGTCAGAAAGGGAGGGGTGAATGAGAGAATAAAGATGACTAAGTGAAAGTAAGAAAATCTGTTGCCGGTATCACACAACCTTCACTATTTCCTATACTTTCAACAGAAATTATTGTTTGTCAATACTAAGCTATGCCAAAAAGTTTTTGATCAGCAATATTAGGAAGTATTGAAATTTTTATACTGATCTATCTTAAGCCGGTTTACATTGCTTTAGTTTATCAAATAAATCGTACTCAAATCTTATGTTTGATCAATTT